CATAATTCTTTTGGTTCCCAAGTACGGAAGTACTGGGTTAAAAGTAAGCCGGTATAACAATCAGGATGTGCAAATGAGAACATTCAGCCTAGCATCTACGCTCAGAAACTTGAGGAATGACATCGTGGTCTGGGCGCTCCACATGTGAGACTTGTTACCAGTTGTCTCGATGTGCATTGCTGGAGAAAACCTTTCTCGAAGCTGATTGAGGGTGCTGGGGGTCACCAAATCATCTGAGAGGGTAGTGAAAAGACGGGAAATGGCTCCATCCACCCAAGTCAGAGTGGTTGTACTTCTTGGGACCCGCCAGCGCTCAACAGCCCCTATGGAGCTGTACTGGTCTGTGTAGGCAGCTTTCGGCCCCTGGTAAATTGTCTTGTCTTCGCCGAGTTTCCTTGGGCCGACATCGGCAAGCATCCATGCAGTATGTATGTATGTCTGTCTGTCTGTATGTATGTATGTATGTATGTATGTATGTATGTGTGTAATGTATGTATGTATGCATGTATGTATGCATGCATGTAAGTATGCAAGTATGTAAGAAAGAAACTAAGACAAACATGCAATTAAGTCCAAGCGAGTATCTTAGACTAAGCAAGTAAGTTGTATGCTGTGGCTATGTCGTGTTTCCATAATTCTTTTTGGCACATTCAGTGAAGCTTAGACAAGAAGCACATTAAAAACAAATGACAACCAAGCTTCAGTGGAGCAAGACCCGCTTTGACACGTAGTTCCTGCATGAACTTGGCCTTCCTCGGTTGAAGATCTTCCAAGTTTCTTGCACCTGCAACTCCCTTCTTGTAAGCCACACGCTTCAACGGTTCGTACATCAATGTCCAGACTTGGTCAAAGTTTCCTATCAGTCTGGGATGGATTCTGCCAGTGCTTGTGGCATTGGAGATCCAATGCCTGATGGAAACAACCTGAGGGTTGTTGTACTCAAGATGTTTCTGTGGCTTTTCGTTTTTGTAAAAAAACCCAGTGGAATCTGCAAGCAAAGCGACTAGCTAACTTCTCCAAGTTAGCCTTGCTCAAGTTGCAGGTGGCCTGAGGGGCCAATTTCAGATCCGCTTCGCCTCCTTCAAGCTCAGCTTCTTTCATTGCTTCTTCAATCTCCTTGTTCACATCTTTCACCTGACGGTTGTACTCCTGCAAAACGTCCTGAATCAGATCGGCAATGCCAGCAGGGGAGACTTCCATGCCAAGCTGCAATTTGTCAAGCAAGATGCTGTCGCACATGTGCTGGAGGGCCACGGGGAAGGCTGCAGATGCCCGTCCCAACATACCCATTCCTAGATTTTTGCGAGCCCAGTTGGGAACCTTGTCAACTTTTGCGGCTTCTCTCGGGCAAGTTTCCACAAAGCTGTCCCACTTCTCGCGGACACGGGCCCCCAACCATTTTGTTTGTGACATCACCCCCTTGTAGCATCCTCCAGGGCACCAACCATTTCTATATTTGTTTTTTTCCCTGGGAGTGTGGCCAGTATTGGAACGAACACCTGTGAGACATCGAAAAAGCTATGTATCTATGTATGTATGCATGCATGCATGCATGCATGCATGCATGCATGCATGTATGTACGTTGTATTGTATATTGTGGCTATTTCCAAAATTCTTTTTGGTATGTTGGTGTGAACAAAAACATTCGTGACCCTGCGTTGGTCCCATCCTGGCAGTTTGAGTTCGTAGAACTTCTGCTGGCCCAGTGCTTTGCCATGCTCCTTGATCAACTGCTCATATTTCTTGCATGCGGCCAACTTCTTGGCAATGGAAATTGAGTCACCGCGCTTGTGCCTTTTTTTTGCTGGTTCATCTTTTGCTTCTCCTGCTTCTTCTCCCTCACCATCTGGCTTTGGTTCAAGCACGGCACGGGGAATCACCACAGGAGCATATTCGCAAGCTTGCTGCTTTCCTCTCAACCGTTTTTTTGCAGGGTTCTCAGCCACAGGTGGGCCTCCAGGGCAGGGAGCTGCGGAAGGATCTTGTTGGGCTAGCTGTTGGGCTGGCTGTGGTTGTACTGCAGGTAGATCTGTGGTTGACTTCTCAAGCTCAGCATCAACTTGACTCCGCTTTCTTGTTCTTCGGGCATGTTCACCATGGACTTGACGAGATCGAGGTGACTGACGCGAACCAGAAAAGAGCTGTGTCGGCTTGGCACCGTGGAAGGATTTCATAATGGGAGGCATCAACTTTGTTGCTTCTCGCTTTTCTGCAACCTCAAATCTTGCCTCCTCTTCATCCAAGAAATCTTCCAACCAGGTATCGACCATGGGTTTGTCATGTGGCACGTCCGTGGGCATGCCCCCAGCTGATTCAGTTGGAATCTCCGCCATGGATGGTGCTTCGGCACTGGTCACAACCTCATGCTTCACAATCTGAAAGGCAGGGGCAGCCTGCTGCAACGTCACGTCTGGAGAGGAGAGCCCCCGATGGAAAGAAGCTTTTCTCAATGATGAAGAGTCGCCATCTTCCACGCCATCTTCATCTCCAGGAACTTGTTGAGGAATCTTCGCTGAGTGGTGCCGCTGCGCGATAGAATACCAAGCACTGCAGCTAACCAAACTGGCAATGGTAGTAGCCAAAGCTACAGTTGTGCTGAAAGCATTGCCTGCCCGCAATCTGGCAGTAGAAGACTCAGACAAATCCTGCATGGCTTTGAAGGCTGCCCCTTTGTAGGACCAGTTCCAAATGCCCTGCAAGGCTAGATGTTCACTTCCTCTCAAGTACCTTTGCCGCTTCACCTTGGGCGCAGGTAAAATAAAAATATGATGGTTCATGGAGGAACCGAGGGAAACCAAGATGCTAACACAATTTCCATAATTATTTTTGTATTGATGAGTACAACTTCCAGGGTATTTTTCGATTGCAAGTCACAGAGAAGACCTTGTGGGTCGGTCGCAAGCAGGTCGCCATGCAGTTGCCTTTCTCCGGCTTCCGGCTAAGGGAAGTAGAGGAATCCACATACAGGTCCAACGATCCAAAAACGCCTTTCATCTCCTGAGTAACAGCGTCAATTTGCTGTTGGACTCGAGGTGGCAACGTGTCCTTCGGTAAGGTCTCAGCATTCGTGGTCAGATGCAAGAATCTATCCATTGGCCACCTGCATGGGAAAAGAAATATGGAAATTAGATGAAATTAGTGGCCCCAAAGTCGTGCTGTCTTTTCCCCATTGAGCTCAATGCAAGATTAAATACATATGTAGTTATGTACATGGCTATGTAATACTTCATTGGGGTTTTGTGGAAACATGTTGAAACCACACCTGGCAAAGGTTTCCATCATGGTCATTGCAGCGTCAAAGTCCTGGGTCATTCGCTCTGGACGCTGTTCACCCATAGATGCGACCCCGTAAACACGCTTTCTCCGCTGGGGGAGTAAGAACTTTGCAGTATCACACAGCCGCCATGTGAAGTGGCATCCCTGCAGTTCTAGGTCTTCCACGACGGTCTCGATTTCTGGTAGGTGTTTGGTCCCATGCTTGTCGGTTTTGTGGTTCGCAACATCCCGAACATTTTCATACATGCTGACAAGTGCGCTAAGCCTTTCTCGAGCATCACGAAACCCTTGCTTGTAGGTCACCCCGCTCTGGCAGCCCTCACCCTCTTCATCGTCTTGAGCATAGCACCCCACAAAGCTTGAAGCACGTTCATTCCTTAGCTTGTTTTGACCAGTATTAGCATGTATTGGCCATGATGTCCTTTGCAAGTCCCACCCGACTTATTTATGTAGAGGCTTGCGTTTCCATAATTATTTTCTCCTCGGCAGTTTCTGTATGTACGTATATGTATCCAAGAATATAGTAACCACAGAAAAATAGTTCTGTCAAAAAACAGAAAACAGTTCCTCGTCTATGTAAGGCCAAAAAGGATCATTGAGCTCAAATTCACGCAAGATGTTCCCGCCACGAGCAGGTCGCAGGTTTCAAGTTCCACTTCCTAAGTTGCTTTTCATCCCCCAAGGAGCATGGGAGATCGTGGGAAATATTGGAATATGTGGTGTAAAATCGTGTCGTTTAGTGTCGCTGGTGGTTTTACAAAAGGAAGAGAGGGATGTAACACAATAATATATATATATATACACATTTGGATACGGATAATCTGAATATCTACTACTATAGACTCAAAGCCGATCTAGAATCTACAGCAAACAAAATTGAATGCGCAAAGGAAAAGTTGAGGTTCCTTCCCATCCAGAACATTTGTGCCTCTGCCAGCTGCCACCTCAGCGACATCCTTGAAGAGGACTGCAACCTCCCCCAGCTGCTGGATGTGCTCCCGACAGTCTTCGTCAATATCACAAGCCAGGTAGGGGTGCACAGAAATGTCGCTCTGGAAACGCTCATTCAGAGCCCTGGTTTCGCGATGCACACTCAAGACCGCACATGGTGCGTGTGCGCGTGCGTGTGAAAAAAGGAATTATGGCAACACATGTATGTAATGTATATGTTCATGTAATGTATGTATGCATGCATGGATGTATGTATGTATGCATGTATGTACGTACGTATGTATGTATGTCTGTCTGTATGTATGTCTGTATGGATGGATGGATGGACGGATGGATGTAGGTACGACATGGATTTCCATAATTCTTTTGGTCTCCAAATACTGGGTCTTATGTTATGTATATTTCTCAAAGTTTCATTTTATGTTAGAAACGCCAACAGAAGTTGAATGTTTTCAGCTCTCGTAACCCCTGCCTGAAAACACTTTGGAGGATGCTAGGCATAGAGTCCACTCCAGAGCAGGTGGTGGCTAGACGGACCCTCGCCACATGCAAGGCACATGCCACCAATCTGAGTCTATCTTGAAATGGCCCAGACAAAGCTTGCATGAAAGAGCGAGCTACCTGTAGTAGGTCTGGTTCTGGTAGAGAGTCCCCTTGAAAAAAAGCATCTGGATACGGGGTCCTTCTCAAGCTCGAAGCCGCATACTTCTGAAATTGGTGCTGAGACCGAGGCTTGGTCTTTCTGTCAGTGCTCCTGCCAGTACCGAGAGTCCTCACGAATGGCTCCACTTTGACAAATGGACGATAGGTGTGTGGGCTTCTGTTGGCACCAATTGGCACGCTAAATGCATACTTGGCTTCCAGTACGCCCATAGATATGGCAGGGACTGCCGGTCCCAGTGTCACTTTTCCACCAACCACATCTGGCTGGTTTGCCGCCACCAGAAATTCATTGGTGTCGCTGGGGAGCTCTCCATCAGGGATCACAATGCCAGAAAGCCCATTCAGCATCTTCTCCATCACAAACATGGAAGTTCGTAGGACATGAACAACAGGTTCTTGTTCAGGTTCTCGTGCAGGTCCACGCTCAGCAGCAGGTTGAAAGGAGGAATATGAAGATGATGCGGCACTGGATGCTGAGTCGTCCATGCTGCCAGGCTTGTCAAGGCTGATCCAAACTACGCATCCATTTGGTTGATCAAAGGATATGCTTGGGGAAATCTCAGTCACCTGGTCCAAAAGCCAGCCAAAGTTGTACTTCTTCAGGAGGGATGGATCATCCTTGACCATGTGCAAGTCCACAAATTTCCGTTTCCAAGCATCATCCACATCAAAACAATCCACCAAGTTCGCATGCCCACAAAGCTTGCCACGCCATCCCAACCCAATTTTGCCTCTGAAGTTCGCAGCCCTCGAGCGCAGCTCAACACGTTTTCCATGATGTAGTATCAAATCCAGCCACTTTTCCTGAATAAGCAAGATCTTTTTGATGCCGAATTCAGAAGCGATCTCCTCGTTACTTTTCACAGCTCCGGACTGGACACTACCTCCCAGGTAATCTTCAGAAAAAGGCCAATATTAAAACATGCACGGTATGGACATATATGGACATTGCAATGATCCTGCTATAGCTTGCAGAAAAAAATTATGGAAACCCCAGTCCACATACCAGGGTGTATCTTTATGTATGTATGTCTGTCTGTATGTCTGCTGATTTCCATATGTAGTTTTTTTTGTGGCAGTCTCAAAGGATGTTTCATCCCCTCTTGGCCTTGGGATGGCTGGCGCGGGAAAGAATTTGATACAAGATCAAGCTTTTGATCTTGCTCCAGAGGTGGTGGAAAAATGGCAGGGCCAGTCTCATGCTCAATGTCAATCTCCGGCGCCAGCAATGTACACCCGGCATCATCTTGGATCAGCAAGTCATACTGGGCAATTCGCTTGGCTTCGTCAGTGAAGGCCGCAGAATGATACACTCGGAGCTTGACAGGCCGATCAGCAGGGCCATAAGTTCCATCCTGATGGATTTGAACACCCATTGAACTTGGAACTGCCTTGACTTCGCAGTGCATGAGCAGCCCCATGGCGCAACGGATGCGCATCTGGAGCAGATGCCCCACAAGCCAAAGATCATCAACTTTCATCTGCTGCCCGTTCCTCAATCCATGCTCAAGGGAGACGAGCTTTGCGTGCATGTCTGCACACAGGTTCTGATTCTGTGTGCGGAAGGCAGCCAGCCGGTCCAAGAATTCCAGCCGAAGAGCTTGAACATTTTCCAGCTCTTGCTTCCTCACGCCAAGTTCCACAGGCCACCCATAGGCTGTCCTCACTTGTCTGATTCGATCAGCATCCTGCGACCAGTACAAGGCGTGCCAGAAAGAGTCCGTTGTCTTGGGAGGCTGAATGATGGTGTAGTGAACTTCCTCACGGTTTCGCACACTCTCCTGAGATCGACAGCTGAATGACCATACCATGCAAGTTTGCATGTATGCATGTATGTATGCAATGTATACATGTATGCATATATGCATGTATGCATGTATGTATGTGTGTGCAGGTGCGACATGGATTTCCATATGTTTATTACACCTCTAATAGTGGGTCTTTTTTAGTACGTATAGTGATCTATATATACATAGATATAACTATGCCATGAGATTTCCATCTTTTTTGAAATCAAACCTGCCCATAGTTCAAAATCTAAGTTTCAGAGACAACCTCGTTGACCATCTCTGTCAGGCTAGTGGTCTTCTTCGCATCCGCATCTATAAACTCAAGGTTTTCCTCCTTGAGGCGCTTGCTCAAGAATGGCATGCTCACCCTTTGGAACTGGCTATCCCCTTGACGGTCAAAAACCCACAGATGATGTTTTGACGACTGCGGGTGTATGTCAGCCTGCATGATGATGTGTTGCTCTACCAGGTTCTCATCGAACTTTTGCAGCCATTGGCAGACAGTTTCTGGCGGCTTTTTGTCTCCCGATGCCCTCTCTCTCTCTTCAACGTAGTCAACCACAGCCACGCCCAAAACCTTGCTACCCTCAATCTCGGCTAGTTTGGTGGCTGCAGCCGATGAGAGCATATCCAAGGATGCACTTGCAATGGTGCAGTTTGCCCTCCAAGTGGCTTGGGCACCCTTCCCCTTCCACCACTTTCCAAGGAAAAGTGCAAATCTCTGCCTACCAGCTCCCTGGACACTGTTGACAATGGCCTTGAAACACCCACAATGGACGCGAACCTTTGCCTCCGGCAGTTTAGGCTGATGATCCTCCAAGTCTTTGCCCATGATGCCTTCCCAGATGTTGATGCCGTCATCAAAGCGAAAAGCTGCAACCGACGCTGGAGCCTGCAAGTCCGAGAAATGGTTTTATTTAGACCCAGATATATTTGAAACACACACACACACCCACGCACGCACGCACGCACGCACGCACGCACACGCGCACACGCGCACACGCGCACACGTGTATGTATGTCTGTTTTGATGGACGGATATGGATATGGATATGGATATGGATATGGATATGGATATGGATATGGATATGGATGGATGGGTGTAGGTCCGACATGGATTTCCATAATTCTTTTGGTCTCCAAATACTGGGTCTTGCCTTCTGATATATATATATATATACATATCATTCTCAAAGTGTTTAACGTCAGACATGCCAACAGAAGTTGAATGTTTTCAGCTTTCGTAACCCTGCGTGAAAACAGTATGATGTGTATATACGTATGCATGTATGCATGGATGGATGGATGGATGCATGTGTGAATAAAGTCATCCCATGATTGATTGGTTTGTTTACTTCACACAGGATGTGCTGAGCTGTGTCAAGGGTTTTCCACCAGTTATTGTGGAAACGAAATTTTGGAAATGCAAGTTTGCTGCCTCTGGAAGATCGTGCTTGTCTTTCACAGAGTCGTAGCACTTCATGTCTCTAGTGCCAGCTGCAACCGCGGCTTTCAAACCACCCAAGGCTGCACGCAAGCCCCCTGTCTTTCGAAGGTGACACATAGATGAAAACCAAGATTCAGCTTTACCTCATTGGGGTGTTGGCCCCCAGCTGAAAAGCGCATTCAGTGAAGTGTAGTGAGCATAACCCCCCAACAAAACAATGTATATAAATGAACTCCACTCAGTTACTCTCAGTCGGAAAGATTTGGGAAATCTGGTTCTCTTTGCCATCAACATCGAAGTAACAAACAAAGGAACCATCCGACTGTGGGAAGACTCCTTCCTCGTTACGCTGCTTGGTTTCCCCAATCAGTGCCGTAGGCTCCTTTGTTTCCTCAGTCGGTGCCGTAGTTCCCTTGGTTTCCTCAATCGGTGCCGTAGGCCCCTTGGTTTCCTCAATCAATGCCTTCGCCGGTGTGGGTGCTGTAGGCTTTGAAGGCTGTGCTGCAGCACCATCCTTAACCAACCGAATGGTGGTGGCAGGCTTTAGTACTATATGATAAACAAGAATTTCCATAATTCTTTTGGGCCCCTAAGGGATGGATTGAACTGAAATCCAAAAGAGTGCCTCAGATACTGCATATTCAATAACAACATCAAAAAACACTTGGGAAGCGTGTCTCGGATAGATGGAAAATGATGGGGGCCCAACCAATACTCAATACTTACTATTCAGATATGTACAGATATCTCACTGGCATTCATGGTGGCTGTGGCGGTGAAGATGGTGGTGGTGTTTATTTCAATGGGTGCGACAGGTATTTCCATATTTTTTTGGGTCCCGTAGGGATGGGTTATAAATGACCCTTTTCAAGGATTCTTAGAATGTTAGGCAGCCAATTTCCAACAAATGTGCTTGATAATGCTACATATGGGAAGTCATCAACCACTGTTATCTAGTTGGCAGTGGTGGTGGTAGTTACAGGGCGCAGTAATTCCTGCTTGTCCTTTGCAGTTTCTTTTAGTGGGTTATTACTTCATCTTCTAAAAATAGATCCAAAGTCACACCCACAGCAAAAACTCAAAGGACAAGAAGTGACTACTGGGTACGTACGGGCAGCAGCTGTTGCGGCGGCGTGGGATGGTGGTGGTGGTTGTGGATGGTTTTTTGCGTTTACTTCGCTAGGCTTCTAGGTATGATTTGGATTTCCATAATTCTTTTTGGTCTGTCAGGGGTGGCTTGAAAATGGTCTCCTACGGGATGTTTCATATTTTAACAACATCATCACTTCAAAAGAGAAGTAGGTTGGCAATCTGTGTCCTAAATGTTTGAACCCAACCAGTATTTTTCAGATACCTAGTTGGCACATGGTGGGATTTCCACTTGCCTTTCTCCCTTTTTGTGTGTACCTCTGCCATGCAGATAAAACAAGAATTTCCATACTTCTTTTGGGCCCCTAAGGATCCTAAGGGATGGATTGAACTGAAATCCAAAAGAGTGCCTCAGATACTGCATATTCAATAACAACATCAAAAAACACTTGGGAAGCGTGTCTCCGATGGATGGAAAATGATGGGGGCCCAACCAATACTCAATACTTACTATTCAGATATGTACAGATATCTCACTGGCATTCATGGTGGCTGTGGTGGTGAAGATGGTGGTGGTGTTTATTTCAATGGGTGCGACAGGTATTTCCATATTTTTTTTGGTCCCGTAGGGATGGGTTATAAATGACCCTTTTCAAGGATTCTTAGATTGTTAGGCAGCCAATTCCAACAAATGTGCTTGATAATGCTACATATGGGAAGTCATCAACCACTGTTATCTAGTTGGCAGTGGTGGTGGTAGTTACAGGGCGCAGTAATTCCAGCTTGTCCTTTGCAGTTTCTTTTAGTGGGTTATTACTTCATCTTCTAAAAATGGATCCAAAGTCACACCCACAGCAAAAACTCAAAGGACAAGAAGTGACTACTGGGTACGTACGGGCAGCAGCTGTTGCGGCGGCGTGGGATGGTGGTGGTGGTTGTGGATGGTTTTTTGCGTTTACTTCGCTAGGCTTCTAGGTATGATTTGGATTTCCATAATTCTTTTTGGTCTGTCAGGGGTGGCTTGAAAATGGTCTCCTACGGGATGTTTCATATTTTAACAACATCATCACTTCAAAAGAGAAGCAGGTTGGCAATCTGTCTCCTAAATGTTTGAACCCAGCCAGTATTTTTCAGATACCTAGTTGGCACATGGTGGGATTTCCACTTGCCTTTCTCCCTCTTTGTGGGTACCTACGCCATGCAGATAAAACAAGAATTTCCATACTTCTTTTGGGCCCCTAAGGATCCTAAGGGATGGATTGAACTGAAATCCAAAAGAGTGCCTCAGATACTGCATATTCAATAACAACATCAAAAAACACTTGGGAAGCGTGTCTCCGATGGATGGAAAATGATGGGGGCCCAACCAATACTCAATACTTACTATTCAGATATGTACAGATATCTCACTGGCATTCATGGTGGCTGTGGTGGTGAAGATGGTGGTGGTGTTTATTTCAATGGGTGCGACAGGTATTTCCATATTTTTTTTGGTCCCGTAGGGATGGGTTATAAATGACCCTTTTCAAGGATTCTTAGAATGTTAGGCAGCCAATTTCCAACAAATGTGCTTGATAATGCTACATATGGGAAGTCATCAACCACTGTTATCTAGTTGGCAGTGGTGGTGGTAGTTACAGGGCGCAGTAATTCCAGCTTGTCCTTTGCAGTTTCTTTTAGTGGGTTATTACTTCATCTTCTAAAAATGGATCCAAAGTCACACCCACAGCAAAAACTCAAAGGACAAGAAGTGACTACTGGGTACGTACGGGCAGCAGCTGTTGCGGCGGCGTGGGATGGTGGTGGTGGTTGTGGATGGTTTTTTGCGTTTACTTCGCTAGGCTTCTAGGTATGATTTGGATTTCCATAATTCTTTTTGGTCTGTCAGGGGTGGCTTGAAAATGGTCTCCTACGGGATGTTTCATATTTTAACAACATCATCACTTCAAAAGAGAAGTAGGTTGGCAATCTGTGTCCTAAATGTTTGAACCCAACCAGTATTTTTCAGATACCTAGTTGGCACATGGTGGGATTTCCACTTGCCTTTCTCCCTTTTTGTGTGTACCTCTGCCATGCAGATAAAACAAGAATTTCCATACTTCTTTTGGGCCCCTAAGGATCCTAAGGGATGGATTGAACTGAAATCCAAAAGAGTGCCTCAGATACTGCATATTCGATAACAACATCAAAAAACACTTGGGAAGCGTGTCTCCGATGGATGGAAAATGATGGGGGCCCAACCAATACTATTCAGATATGTACAGATATCTCATTGGCATTCATGGTGGCTGTGGTGGTGAAGATGGTGGTGGTGTTTATTTCAATGGGTACGACAGGTATTTCCATATTTTTTTTGGTCCCGTAGGGTATGGGTTATAGCCTAGGATCAATTCCCTTGGTGAGTTCCGGCTCCACCACTGGTGATTTGCCTTCATAGATCACCTCTTCTAATGCATCCCTGTTTACCTTGTTCGATCGTTTGTTCTTCACACCATGCTCCTTTAAAAAGAGATCTCGTTCCTCTTTGTCTTGCTGGTAACACAGGAAATCAAAACGTTTCAGGTGCTGTTTGAGCAGTCCATCGAACTTCTTTGCAAGCTGGATCGCCTGGTCCTTTCCCCCGGATTTCGCAAAGGTCCAAGTTCGATGCCTTTGCAGTCTAGGCCCATGCGTCACATGCTTCGCAAACCTCAGAATGAAGATTTTGGCGCCCTGGAGAGACTGGCAGCCAACCGTGGCAGCTTACCCATATATATATATTATAGCATATATCCATATTTTTACAACCCATATACTCATTTTAGCCTAGCTGTATACACGTACGAGTATGTTATACATATATATATATGTGTATATATAGATATGTATATATACATAGAGGCTTTACCAGTGCGCCTGCGTTTTCTATCTTCTATGTAGACATACGTTTTGCATGCATCCTTTCAGACATGGCCATGGCGACCAAAACAAAATTATGGAAATTCATGGGTTCACTTCCCTGTATGTACCAAACCCTGGTCCAAGAAGCACTCTGATGGCGTCATAACCCTCCACAGCAGCCCCTCCGAACCCCATTGCTCCGAGAAATTGGTGTTGGCTGGTGCCAGCTAATGTGGTCGCACACACAAAACTACCACTACCAGAACTACAGAGGTGCTTCTCTTGCCCCAATTGAAAAATATTTCACCAACATGACCAACATGCTTTCTATTCTATGAGTTTGTGCGAGTTTGTGCAAGCCTCAAAGTCGTCGTCTCTGAAGCTAGCTGGCTGGGCGGCAGGCAGGATTCAAACTCGGTTTGGTTCCAAAATGCCCTAAAATATGGGCTGCTGGATGATAGTCCCAACCGACTTGGAAGGCCAGGTCAATTTATTGAGCTGAATAGCCATATATACTGTAAGGCAAGGTTAACCGCCTATCTAGTTATACATGTCATATCATGTCATATCTATTCCATCTATATATCATATATCCACCTATCCATCTATCCACCTATCAACCTATCCATCTATGCATCTACCTACAGTCACCGACAGAATTATGGAAATGAAAAAAGGGACGCGCGCCGCAAGTAATCGAAACGGTTAATTTAGATTTAGTTCCAAGATCATGCAAATACGCTGGAAACCAGGTGGTTTGAAGGATCAGGGTCCGAGAGCTGAATCTAGATTTAATCCCAAGATCATGCAAATAAACTGTAAACAAGGCGGTTTGGAGATGTTTGGAGGATAAGGACCCCAAAACTGAATCTGGATTTAGTCCCAAAATCATGCAAATTTCCTGTAAAACAGGTAGTTTGGAGGACCAGGATCCGATAAGTAAGATTTCCAAAATTAATTTTGCATCGTGGATTAGAGGCTTTTGTAGACATTTGTATACACTTGTTTCATCCTTTTTTTGAAGGATCAAGATCCGAAAACTGAATCTAGATTTACTGTAGTCCCAAGATCATGCAAATACGCTTCAAAGCAACTGGTTTGGAGGATCAGGGTCCGGAAGCTGAATCTAGATTTAGTCCCAAGATCATGCAAATAAACTGTAAACAAGGTGGTTTAGAGATGTTTGGTGGATCAGGATCCCAAAACTGAATCTGGATTTAGTCCCAAAATCATGCAAATTTGCTGTGGTTTGGAGGATAAGGGTCCCAAAACTGAATCTGGATTTTGTCCCAAAATCATGCAAAAACATTCAAAACTAGGTAGTTTGGAGGATCAGGATCCGATAAGTAAGATTTCCAAAATTAAGTTTGCATCGTGGATTAGAGGCTTTTGTAGACATTTGTATACATGTGTTTCATCCTTTTTTTTGAAGGATCAAGATCCGAAAACTGAATCTAGATTTACTGTAGTCCCAAGATCATGCAAATACGCTGCAAAGCAACTGGTTTGGAGGATCAGGGTCCGGAAGCTGAATCTAGATTTAGTCCCAAGATCATGCAAATAAACTGTAAACAAGGTGGTTTAGAGATGTTTGGAGGATCAGGATCCCAAAATTGAATCTGGATTTAGTCCCAAAATCATGCAAACTTGCTGTGGTTTGGAGGATAAGGGTCCCAAAACTGAATCTGGATTTTGTCCCAAAATCATGCAAAAACATTCAAAACTAGGTAGTTTGGAGGATCAGGATCCGATAAGTAAGATTTCCAAAATTAATTTTGCATCGTGGATTAGAGGCTTTTGTAGACATTTGTATACATGTGTTTCATCTTTTTTTTGAAGGATCAAGATCCGAAAACTGAATCTAGATTTACTGTAGTCCCAAGATCATGCAAATACGCTGCAAAGCAACTGGTTTGGAGGATCAGGGTCCGGAAGCTGAATCTAGATTTAGTCCCAAGATCATGCAAATAAACTGTAAACAAGGTGGTTTAGAGATGTTTGGAGGATCAGGATCCCAAAATTGAATCTGGATTTAGTCCCAAAATCATGCAAATTTGCTGTGGTTTGGAGGATAAGGGTCCCAAAACTGAATCTGGATTTAGTCCCAAAATCATGCAAATACGCTGTAAAGCAGGTAGTTTGGAGGACCAGGATCCGATAAGTAAGATTTCCAAAATTAATTTCGCATCGTGGATTACAGGCTTTTGTAGACATTTGTCTCACTTGTTGTTTCTTTTTTAGAGGATCAGGATCTGAAAATTGCTATTTCCAAAATTCTTTTTTTTGAAAGTCCGTAATCTGGCAATTTTTTTGTCTTGGTTTCGGTCCCCAACCTTTTTCGCTAACTGCGGCGCCGAACCTTTTTTTCATTTCCATAATTCTGTCGGTGACTGTAGGTCAGTAGGTTTGCGAACTTAACGTTCGCGAACAGGGGCACCATCTTTCATCTTATATCCAGCCTGAGATCAGGACATAACCACCAAAAGTGAAATTTAACCAGCGTACTTCAGCATTGCATATTTTAGTAAATTTCCGTATGCATGATCAATTATTGTAATCCCAATGAGTTCTTCAATAAATTCCAAATCCATCTTCAGCCATCATATGTGAATTTCAGTCCACTATCACTAAAACTAATTACTATGTATCACTAGTGGTATCATCCAGCTATAAATAGTAACAATAGTTAAATTATACGCAACATTAATCCATCCATGATTATATAACTACTTAAGAAAACATATGAAAACATCCAATATCCAAAAGTGGATAACTCTACCTATGGATCTTAGGATTTTATGGAATGTAACTATATATATATAACTACTTTTGCACTTTATATCTGCAGTAATAAAATTATAGCTGAATTTATCAAATTATTCCAGAATCATGATCATTTTACTGCTATTTACTTCATCATACTTATGAATCATTCTCACGCATAAGATCATTATTTTATCTCGCTTCATCTGGGAAAATTCATGGATGATCCATAATATCTGGAATACCCTCTGGTAAACTAACAGTTTGCTATTGAACATGGCCATTTAAATAGTGAGTTTTCCCATTAAAAATGGTGACTTTCCATAGTTATGTTAGTTTACCAGAGGGTAAAATAATCATGGTCAACCATTCATTTATGGGATGATTCATCCTTTATTCCATGACAGAGTTTCCGTCAAACCATCCGTTCACTATTCCTCAATTTTGGTCGACCATTCCCCTAATTTCCTTCCAGTGACATCACGTTGAGGTTGCTACCTCATTCATCCAGAATAATGGATAAAACAAGTATGATCACCCAGGAATTCTGGGATCATCCATCCATTGAATCCAGGATTTTCCATTATATCCAAGGAGTTGCTTAAGGACCCCCAAAGATATCAAGTATTCCCTTAATCGGTTGACCAAGTAGTGGATTTCCCATTCAAAAAATCATCAAAATCAGCTTAAACAAACCCATGTATTGTCAAATTGCCGGAGAGTATGATCGTCCATCTACTATCATCCAAATGGACACACACACATATCATGATCCATCTAGTACATGATGTTTCATATGCAAAGCGTATGATTATCATCTATTATTCTTTCACTATTCTACAATATCCCGTATGATTGTACTTAAAATATATGCATCTTTATTCAACATTAAAATGATTATGGATGATAACTGTTTTTTTAATCTCCATCATTATAATCCATCATCATGATCCATCTATTCCATGATATATCCATCTATCTTATCCATCATGTGACTAAGTTATCCAAGTTGTTCATCATTATTAGCCATCTCTCATTCTTTCATCTATCTTATTCATTTGTCTGGGTAAATTATAGTTCGGCCAGCTAACCTGAATAGTTCGGCCAGCTATGGGGATGATTTCCCACAATCTAACCATTTTTCCCAGTGCAGGAGAACAGTGAGGTCGTTATAATTCACCCAGATTCATCATCCATCATTATCTGGTTGGTGGTTTCAACCCCTCTGAAAAATATAAATTATTAGTCAGTTGGGATGATTATTCCACATATTGTGGGGAAACAAAAATGTTCCAAACCACCAACCAGTATTCTACATCTTCCTCAAAAAATCCAGCCGCTGGCAGCACCTCTTCGAAGCCGGCAGGCACTGCTGTCCTGACACGGCCATGAGGGTGATTCTTCAGGCCAGGTTTAAGCAGAAATGACACGGTGATCTAACCATTACCCTCTGGTAAATTCACTTGTTGACCCTGAAAACTATCCATTTTTAGTCAAAACTTATCTTCCAACACCTGGGCCTGCCAGGGTCTATGTTAATTTACTGGTGGATATATATATAATGATATATATATATATATTATAGAGTATATATATATAATATCTTACTACATTATATGATATATATATATATGTATATCTGAATTATAATGACTCATTTACCTGAGTCATTTTTGGTCATTTTGGGATAGTTACCCCTGCTAATGAAGCATCGAATTATTGGATCATACCTAGACCCTCCAAGTACTTATGAGAATGTGGTTTTGGCTTAAAAATGTTATATATATATATAATTATATATGATAATCATAGTGCGTTTTCCATTTTTGGTGTCTTTGTAGGGTCTAGGTGTATGTACATGTACAAATGGTGATATAACCGGCAAGAATTTACCCTAGCAATGCCCTAATATATCCCGATCATAAGATCTATTTGGTATCCATGAGTTGGTTTGGGATTCGAACCGATGTGAAGAATCCGGGGCTCGGGGGGATCATTGGGAGGGCGGCATCACCCATAGGGAACTTCCCCGACCCCAAAACTGCCCGGTGCGTTGGGAGAAAGTCCGCACGTGCGGAAGGGTGGTTAAGCAAGGCATGCTCAGTTGGACCATCAAAAAGAGTTGCCCATAGTTGCCCCCAATCAAATTGGTCTTTAACATTTTATGAATCCTGCGGTGACAGGTAGCAAACAAGAAAAGCATGCAAAAGCTGGAGAAAATGAGCAGACATGTGGATTTGGCTATGGGATAACACAACACGAAAAATAGGGTGTTCCCTGAAAGGTTTCCCAACAACACCCCCTTCATCTTCCCTTGAGCAATCTTGGGAGAAGAAGACCCTCTTGGTCTCCAAGCTCTTTTTGGCCTCTTGTGGTCATCTTTTGCCGCAAGGTTGTGGGCCAAAAATGTACACAACGTAACGTATGGCATCTTTGGACAACTTTCGCACAGGATCAAAGCCCCTCAAAGGTGTGTTTTAAGAATCTCCGGTCCACTAGGTTCATGGCCGACCTCAAAAGATCCTTGCACACAACAGGACAATGTTGTGAAGTGCGGTCAACTAGTGCAAAATAAGACCACCAACTATAAGTGGATATACCAGTATGAGCACGTTGGTGGTTTAAACTTTCCTGAAAATGGTGAATCAACTCTGATCAGTCCTATTTCCAAAGGATGGAAAATCAAACCTGCTTTGAAGCCACCAACCAAATTGCATACCCTGATGGTTGCTTAATCCATCATATTTGAATGTATCTGAAAGGTGAAACCTCCTACTTTTCATCATTGAATCATGGAACCATGATAAATTCATACAAAAATCCCCAGTATTTGGCTGATGAAAATCTGGCAGAATCATCTTCCAAAGCCTCCGCCTCCGCAGCCCCCGATCAAGGGCACCTCTTGGTCGGTTCTTTGGAAGCCAGGCAAGGCGGCACCTCAGGTCAACGACTGGATGATTGGATGATTTGGGGTACCCAAATGACTTTGGAAACCCATGGTCAATGGATTGGTTTAGGGGAAATTTTACAGGAAAACCCCATATTTAATGGGAAAATCCATGGTTTCCTGTAGATTTTCCCTTAAACCAATCCATTGACATGGAAAGCCCCACTAATTTGGGGTATTCAAGGGCCATCGGGAACATCGAAAAAAACAGCCGAATTGAATTTTTGGAGCGAATTGAATTCCGTAGCCGTGCTTCATTTTGTCCACTCATTTTCAAACATCTAAACTCATTTTCCCGGCAACATTTCTAGCATTCATTTTGAACATGGACCAGGAGTTCGTGGATAAATCAACCAAAACATACCATTGTTGCTGGTCAACCCCCATTTTTCTTGTCACTACTTGGATCTGCCAGTTAGGATCCGTGGTCAAGATTGGTCAAGAAGTGCCCGAAGCCACAGAAGTTACATAATAGTTATATACAACAAGGATATCATCATATAATCACTGGTTGGTGGCATACGGCCTGGTATACCTACCCCTCTGAAAAATATGAATTCGTCAGTTGAGATGATGAAATTCCCATTATATGGAAAGTCATAACATTCATGTTCCAAACCACCAAGCAGATCATATATCCTCCATGGTTTTTACCGGTTACCCCCACGGATCCCGCACCTTTGGAGTGAGCTGTGGCAAGATCAGCAGCACTGCGATCAGTGCGATGCGACGGATGCGAGGCGGCATCGAATAGGGGTAGCGATTACAAAATGGGAGGACCGGTAATTTTCATGGATATACATATTAATGGGGAAAAAACAACCGTATGCAGCAACTTGTTCTTTTTATACCCCACATATATCTCGATCTATTTCTTTCTCTCTCTCCCTCTCTCTCTTTCTCTGTATGTGGGGGTGCGAATACATTAGTTTTGGCATACAGCAAGTTCGAGCCATACCCGTACGTATAGGACAGCCTAATCAGTATAAATGGGCTGGAATGCTTGACCCATCTAGTCAAATTTAAAGTTGGGATGATCAAAATTATTATATCATATGTATATATATATAAATATGATTACTGGTGTTGGTGATACCTAATAGAAAATATAATCTTAGCTTTCAAATTTCATCTATGTCCAGGTGGTGCCAAGGTATCGAGACTTGAGCCAAATCCAGAGGCTACAAATGATGGCTATTGTGACCTCCCAAAAAATGGGCTACAGCTGATGCATTTTAATCCCTGGTTCATCCTCGACATTGAATTCCATGGAAGATCGAGATGACATGAGACCCAGAAGTCAATTGCGGTACAAGGATGCACAAGGCGCATGCAACCACTTTTTGAAACCGGACCGTGCGCGAGTATGAGGTTTGGCAGCACGCCAATTTCAGAAAACCGATTTCAAACCTTGTACCATGTCACTATGTAATCCTCCAAAATCAATGGCGGAATTGTGACATGTGCTCTCTTATGCAGCTTGTGGAATCGAATTGGAACCACCAGCATCCACAAATTGGCAAAAAAATAAGCCATCAGCCATGGACTTCTAACTTCTGAAGCAATCGGAGCGATGCGATCTGTTTTGTCCGGACACCGGTGGCTTTTCTACCAAGTCTTGTTTTCTGGTTTCAAGATCATATCGAATATATCATTAATATGTGTATGTATATATATATATGCCTTTACTGTTATACGTGTTGTTGTTTTCACCGAAAGGATCCCAACACAAAATGGAAAGGAAATAAGGACATGAACAAGATCCATCGAAAAATCGCACTCACACTTAATTCCAAGTTTGTGCCATCATACCTGCACAATGCCATATACTGTAGATTTTGCTCTCCCCACCATTTCACTTCAACTCCAATCTTCTGATTCTACTTCGAAATCTTCGTAGCTAGGCCACTAGGCTTCTCGAACCCACACGATTCCTGATCCCCCCAAAAAATAAAACCTGTTGTTCACCTTGTCTGGGTTGAAACCAGAGTGCTAGGACAGAGTGGCTTTACCACCTGCCTTTAGTTCGTTTCTCAGGGTCAGGGCCTTTCCGGAATGGCATCTAGGCCTGGGAACAGGATGCAAAGCCTCCCACGAATCGAAAGTAGGTGGATTAATCATGATTAACACTGATTAACCATGGTTGTAAGTGAATTAAGCCTACTTATCCCACTGAAAAAGCTACTTAGTAAGTGGGATGAGCCACCAAGTATCTGCATATATAAAATATCTCTCTATGTACTGTATGTAAGCACGTATATGCATACAATGTATACACATGCATGCAAAACATATCCATACAGATTTACGCACATCAGCCAACGAACATAAATCTACGGATACCGATTTTGTGCACGCTGGGACTCGAAGACTCGAAGTTGGAGCTTTTGAGACTGGGCGCATGTCAACATGACATGAGTTTGTCTGAAAATTGGCTGCATGGTATACACAAAAGTTGCCATTTTTGATAGGGAACATGAGGTTTTGAGCCCGTGGGTGGTTTTGGGAATCTAAGCGCCAGGTGAAACAGGGGACCAATCTCACCCCCCGATCATTGTCAAATAATTCGCCCCCCCCATACCGCCAAGATGATGGCCTGGACAAAACCGGGGGGTTCTTCCGTGTGTTTTATTGTTGGGGTTTGGATCATCATCATCACCATCACCATCATCATCATCATCATCAGCAGCAGCAGCAGCAGCAGCAGTCATGCCATAGAAATCCATAGAGTTCCATACCACGAAATCCCATAGAGAACCACGGAAATCCATAGTAACACATGGACCCCCATAGAAAATCACAGAAATCCCAAGAAAACCCATAGGAATCCATGGAAAAAAAAACATTAAAAACCCATAGGAAATCCAAGAAACCCATGGATTTCCGGAAGAAATCCATGGGATGCAAAAAACCCATGGCTTTTTACGGCCAGGAGGCTGGGCTCTAGAGGCCGGTTGCGGCAGAGATGTCCGTAGCGCTTGGATTTCCGGGGCTTGGAATTCAGGCGTCTGTACTGTGAGAAGGCCTCGTTGAGGGGCGGCCGTTGAGGCTAAAGACCTACAAGTTTTATAAGGTTTTTATAAGGTTTTATAGTAAATCCTGTGGGAATAATTAGAGGTAAGTAGTGGTAAATTAATTTTGAACAATCTCTCCTTCTCTCCCTTTCTCTATACATATTATATAATAATATATCTGCGTATCTCTCTCTCTCTCTTTCTCTCTCTCTCTTGGCAGGTTACCATAGTCTAAGAATGTCTATGGCAGATGGTTTCCTTTCGAACATGCTGATTTCCTGTTGCCATCTTTGGCCTCGGGTGATCCACTTGAGATTCAGCGGGCGGCCTGATCCTATCAGCCTAAACGACCAGCTAACCATTGGTTGAGAGAAACAGAAAGGAGAACAAGACATCCTTCTAACCAATGTCTACAACCATGGCAACCATGGCAACCATGGTCACCCAGTTCCAAAGAACTCCAAAAGCACCCTGGTGAAAACAGGGAAGCACTTGTGCCCGGATGTGCCCGGCCTTGCATTCCACTTCCTCAGTCGCAGCAGTAGAAATCGGATGGTTGTTCCCTACTCGTCACCGTCACAATCACTACGCCTTGGGAACGCCACGGGCCTTGAACCCTCACCGTCATTCACAGGCCAAGCAGCACTGGGGTCATCCAGTCGAAGCTATCTTGGACACCAGAGTGAGACCAACAAAAATCATCGGCCCCCTAGAATCAAGTCATTTTATATCAAATTGACTACTGCTAGTTTGTGGGCCCATGGCTGCCTCAGTTTTGAACAGGGGCCACATGATTTCTCTGTGGTGGCAAACCCACCCAACATCTTTGAATCTATCCGAGAAAAAATAAAAACCAGCAACCAGATCTGGGAAATCAACCGCTCCCCAAACTCTAAAATCCATGGTTTCTCGTCATTTTCCTCAAACTGGCCATAAATAGCGGGGGATTTCCACAGCCTTCACCGCTGGATCTGCCTAGCTTCCACCAAGAGTGCGTCCACCTGGCGGCTGCGGTTGCTCAAAAGCCGTGCTCCGCATCATGTCCGTAGAATGGGCAAAAACAATGATTATTATCATTATTCAATTGTTACTTAATTATTGGTGCTATTATGTGTATATAATTATATATATTTCATTATATATCTGTGTGCGTGTGTTTGTATGGAAATAGCCATAACCAAAACAAAGCTCAGACCATTTATATATATAATATATATCTTTAAAGTAACAGTTAGACATGGTTAGACCATGGATCATAACTTGGATTCGCTCAAGTTAAGACATAGAAAGAATAAGAACAAATCCTGTTTTCCACAAATGGAAGATTAACCAATGAGAAAACATGAGAAAATGGAAAGGAATCATCTTCAGCAAATCGAGGATGACACCCTCCAGGAATTAGCCGCTTGATCTTGGGGACTGCCAAAACATCTATTGGAAGATGATTTATCCGTTAATGGATCGGTGTTTCAGGGAAAACGTACAGGAAACCATTGTTTTCTACCCGCAAATATAGGGTTTTCATGCAGATTTTTCCAACCGTGTTTTCATATCTAAAGTTGGGATGGTTCTCCTTGTGATCCATCGGTCACGCCTCAGCTTCCGCCTCCTGATCCAACAATGGGTGCTGAAATGGGACCTGAGGAAGCACAGCGGGTGGTCCCAACACCCGCAAACATTGCATGTTGCTGCCTATGTTGTGTTGATCATCTTGTAGTACTGTTTGATCATATTTGATGTTCATTAGCTGGCCCTTTCTTTGCTCAACTAGATCGGGCAATTGAGATGATGGTGAGGCCAGCCTGCTTGGTTGGAAAAGGCATCCCATGACAATGGCTGAACATAAATTGCTGTGGTGAGCCTCTATTGTGGAAAATGTTTTTCTCAGATCCGATTTTTTCAGGAGGAGCTTTATCCACCTTTTGATCCACCTTTCTTTGGGTAAAGCTGGTCCCTTTAGTTTAGAAAGCCATATCCATGTTAGAGCCTTGAAAATGCAAGGTTTCCCAAATAATGAGATGCCTTACTAAACCCTTATCAAGAAACAGCATCCAAATAAAATCTTTTATCCACCTTTCTTTGGGTAAAGCTGGTCCATTTACTTTAGAAAGCCATATCTATGTCAAAGCCTTGAAAATGCAAGGTTTCCCAAATAATGAGATGCCTTATTAAACCCTTATTTAAAAACATCACCCAAATAATTTTTCAAGGGGGTACCCCATGAGTAACCGAGATCCTCAATAATGTAATTGTTTCGATGGTACTCTATTGTGCACAAAAACTGTTGGGGTGAAATCAAAAACGGATTTGAAAGGAAAATCAATTGAAAGTAGATTGATGTCAATTGAAATCCTTACTTAAGTTGACTATCCTAAAAACTGTTGAGGGGGGTCGTCTAAAATGGTTGTTTATTCAGTAGACGTAAATTGTTGAGGGGTGGGGCCCTCACACTAACCAATAGCCAACATTATATACATATTATGTAGATAATTAATTAAGCAGGACTGTTTTATATTATATAACATAATATCAATACACACACATATATATATATAACAACTTCAGAGATCATCCTTAGCTTCCATCCCATTTCGACAGCAGGTGGTTTACCAGCCTCTTCCACAGCCTCTTCCACAGCCTCTTCCAAAGCCTCTTCCTCTTCCTCTTCTGTGGCAGCTGAGCTGGCATTCACACCCATACTGTCAGTCGATCCACCAGACGGCGCCTGCGATCCGAACGGTCAATTTGGGTCACTGAGCTGCTGGTTACTATCCATTCTCCTGAAATATCTACAATCAACTAAAACCCCATCTAACACCCCAAAATGATCACAATAGATCCAAGACAAAATGCAGAGTTCATTGGGGACATGCCCAAAATCAGGGGTTCAGCATTTTTCCCCTTGGCAAATCTCTGATATCCTGCAAAGTAAAAACCGAGTTGGTTTTCTCAAATCATGGGCAGTAATTATTCCCATTCATAGCAAACGATCAAGTTGCACTAAACTATATATATATTATATCATCCATTGAACCAGTTTCTATCCCTAAAGGAAACCGTCCGCCGGGACCCGTGGCAATCCGTGGAAACGACCTCGCAGACTTTCGGTTGGCTCTCCTGTGCCGAGTCCTGAGTCTTTCAACACCGCAAAATTGAGCCGCTCAATTCAATCATCTAAATATATCTAAATTCCGAAATATGTAACCAATTAATCTGATACTTAAATGGTATCCCCACAATTCAACAACCGTTTGGGGTTTATTAATCCAGGGTTGACATTAAACATGAATAGACATATATAAGTAATAAACATATGAATCAACAGCGAGAAATCGGTGGAATCATGTGGAATCGCATGATCGATAAGGATAATGTCAACCCCGGATGAATAAACCATGGTTTATTAATTAGGGGGTACTCCTCCAATAGTCATAATAGGGGTTTATCAATCCAGGCTTGACATTACTCTTCTAGAAGTCTCATCTTTCAGTCGCAAATTCCATCAAATCTGGGCAAATTATAATCATTCACTAACCTGAATCTTGCGGCCATTTGGGGATGATTCCCCTTATTAACCATGATTTCCAGTGAGGTCGCAGTGAGGTCGTTATAATTTACCCAGATAATTTACCTTGTACCCCTGGTGAACATCAAAATAGCTGGTAAATGGATGTTCATTCCCCTAAAAATGGTATTAATAGGTATTGATCCATACCCAGATATGTTTCTCTTATTTTTGCCGTTTCTCCAGGCAGCGGTCCTGTGTCAGGCTCCGCTTCAAGATTTTGATCGGATGCCGCGGCTTCGATTCCTCCGGCTCCTCATCCTCCCTGAGGCCACCGGAATCCCGAAACTTTTCGGGGGATGCGGGACCTGGGACATCCTGATGGACCTGGGGGTGTTGAATTGATGTTGAATATCAGGATGGGATTGATTAATACTGACTAATTGGTTATGATTGGTTATGAGGATTGCACACACCACCAAGAAATAAGAAGTTGTCAGATCTCAACTGTGTGCGCTCTCAAGACTAAGACATATGGATACATATGGGCGAATGGGGAATTTGCCAGCAAGGGGTGGGAATTGGAACATCAACAATTGGTAAATGATACAGCTGTGTCCAAAAGAGGAGGATTGATAGAATTGGGACACGCAAAGGTCGACCAAGGAGTCCAGCAATTGATGTCTTTGGTCCAGTTTGGTCGCCAAAACATCTGAAACTCACCATCCAAGATGGTCCAAGCTTGTGGAGTATGCGGCATTTTGAGATGCCAGCGCCAAAGACTTGCTGCCAGAACTTAGAAGTTCACCTGTTTTTACATAACACATCATGACGCCATATGTTTTTGGATCGTGTTTCCACCTGGCATTGGGACATGCGCAAAAAGAAGGCAAGTGGCACGTAAACTTCCGCGGCGGCTTCAGCAAAGTATTTCAATCGTGTCGCTTTGGCAAAAAAGCAGGGGCACTGCGTGTTCATCAGCCAACGAGTGGAACAAACAAGATGATTTTGACCCAGAGCTGGATTTAGTCAAGTTGCTCCTCATCATCTTCGTTGTCACTCCAATCATTTTGAATACCTCAAATCGCAAGGAAGTTCTGAGAATTGAGGAGAAAATTCAGCTGAAACCTCTTATATGTCATGGCCAAAAAATCTTCCCCCTATACCAACCGAATGAGAAGTGTTGGATTCCAGTTGAAACAAACGTGCCACAGCCGTCGGACATCGTTGGACTTCTAACATGTGTTTGACCAGCTGAGAGGGATTCCCCGAGCAATCGCCATTCCCGTTGAACCAGCTTTGACCAGCTATGACCAGTTGCAAGATGGGTGTTTTTGTGAACATCGGAGTATCCCCGGTCAGCCAGTGGTTTATCATAACCCATATGCAACCCATGGTGCTGGAATATGCGCACCAACATTTGCCCTTGTCCAAAATCACCCAGTTTTGTAGGTAAATATACCAGCACCATGGAGCATATGGGTCATGTTAAACCATCAAAATGGGCATAAATGGGCCTATCAATGATCAAACTGGCGCTGAGACACAGAGAGTTCGTTTACGATTCCCAGTGTCAAAGTGGAAAAGAAAAGTAAGGGGCTTTTCGCAGCTCCCAATAGCTACCAACTTAAAATAGCAAAGTGAACTCACACTGAAATATGCAATAAATGTTCTATCTTTTGGTGTAGGTGCTACGGTTTGGACTTTAACTTGGTCTCCCAACCTTTTTTCCTCCACATATGGCGTACACAGTGTCACATGCTTTAACAAATGAAACATTATCCCACCATTGTGAGGACTTTTCTCCAAGCTACCCTTCGGGAATCAAACAAGGCTAGCCAGGAAATCCACTATCAACAAAGGTGTCACTGGGAACATCATCTATAGACGGATTCTCGACGTCCACGTGTGATTACCGGTTTCACCCTACGGCCCACGCCCAAGGGACCCATGACGTTGACACTACCGGCCACCAGAGTCATGTCTGGCTGGCCGGGATAGTAGAACTCTAGAGGACCTTCAAAAGACTTGACCTGGCGACGACTGGACCGGACATGGGTGACTGGGATCGTTCGAAGCCATGGCCCATGATGATTTACCTATGCAAAACCGGTGATGTTCCAGTTCGATACGTTCAATAACCAGAGGGGAAGTGGATTGTGTCCCACCAAAAAGTGGTACATGGGGGCTGCCAAAGAAAAAACAACAGAGATTTGAAACAACTCGAAAACACCCGTCCCATTTTCGTCTTGCTGGTGGCTTATCATTTCTAGGTTGATTTTTTTCGTGGTGGGGACTCCTATAATATCCTATATATAAAATCTCATCCCAGTACCGGGTCTGGTTGTGGGAGAAAAATATGCTATGGTCTGGATTTTAGGGGATATAATATATAATATAAGATTTATATCTGGTTGGTGGTATACCTACCCCTCTGAAAAATATGAGTTCGTCAGTCGGGATGATGAAATTCCCAATATATGGAAAATAAAATTCATGTTCCAAACCACCAACCAGATGTGTATATAATATATATATATTAAAATTAATATAATATTATATATATATATATTAACTATGTGTGTGTGTGTCATCTGATTGGTAGTGTGGCATACGGCTTATGAATCCCTTTCTGAAACTCGTAAAGGCCACCCCTGTTGCCTGTTGCCGGGGTTATCTTTGGCCCCCATTTGCCATTGCCAGGTTTGCTTTACGGAAGGTAAACGTATGTTTCTCCCCTGCAGTAAGCATTTCCAAATGTGTGTCCTTTCCAATGGCTTAAATCCTTCCATGGGTGTGTCCAAAATGGGGAATACCACCCCAAATGTCAATTTAATATGGCAAATGAATAAATCAATGAATTTTGGCACCCTATATTCAAAAAAAACAACATATATCACTCCAATAGGACAAGTCCTTATGTCTGAGCCATTCTGCAGTTCAAACAGGACTATTCCACATACTTAGCAATATATTATGAACTTCAAACACACACACACACATGTATATATATATATATAATATATATAATACAGTATATATATATATGTGTGTGTGTATGTATGTGTGTGTGTGCACATATGCATCTTATATATATATTAGTGAAATAATTACTTTTATAATGAGTCTTAAGAAAATCATCAGTACTCCATGTAATTAACCATAATATATATATATATAGATAGATAGATAGATAGATAGATAGAAAGATAGATAGATAGATAGATATAATTATAATTATAATTAGTTAGATATAGATATAGATATTACAGTTGTAAAATCTTACCCCAATATGACCAAAACCACTGGTCCCATGTTCCAACTCTTCGCCCGTTCCTCGTCGGCATGCCCAGCACAACAGCGCTGCGTTTCCATCTGCACCCAGTTGCGGAACTGGTCCCAGTGCCGACTACGAATCCAGTGCCTGGTGCCAAAAAAATGCCACACATCTGGGGGATTTCTCCAGGAAATGGTGAAGAATCCGTGAGTTTAAGCGGCAACAATGGTGAAAACTATAGGATTTCGGCAGCAAACATGGTGAATTTGGTGATCCAACGTGCAAAAAATCGGAAGATGTCCTATTTCATGATCCTTATGGCTAGATCAACCTTTTTTGGACTGTAGTTTTGGGGTTTGTTGAAGCCAAAATGGGAGCAGCTGGGTCTGAAGCTAAGTTGGCTTCTACATGCTACAAAACTCTAAAACCTTGGGTTTGCGCACTAGTTTTCATGGTAAATCACCTTTGGGGGCACCAGCTTTTGGTGAAAGACGTGGTCAGTACTTGACACCTTCGTGCAATGTATTGGATCTCATGAATTGGAGTCCCTGAAGTTTGGGTATTGAATATGATCCGGGGTTGGGATTACCCTCTGGTAAACTAACATAACTATGGAAAATCAACATTTTTAATGGGTAAATCCTCTATAAATCACCATTTTCAATAGCTATGTTAAATTACCAGAGGGTAGTATATGTAAATATTCGTCAAGGGTTCTGAATGGATCACGAGGATTGTCTCCAGATAAGGTCTTGACACTAGGGAGCAGTGCCAGGACCCATCGGGATCTCTGACTGGATGTTGTAAGTCAGAAGGGGGCCAACAAATGGCCCGTGTCGATCAAAAAATGACCATGGAGCTTGCATAAAAGACTGCCGGGCTTCTTCTGCCCAATCCACTTCCATGCAACTCGGCAAATTGGGGCAACATGGGGCAACTGCCTCTACTTGGTTGGAATTTATGTAGGTGAGAAGCGTCCTTTAGGATCTTACTCATGTTGTTTTCATGCCAGAGATGATCTCACATGACATGCCTAGGGCCTAGTTTTGATTGTACAACCTAAATTGGCCAAAACATCCCAAAGCGCATCTTTTGGGGGAGGGTTTTCGATACCCAATGGTAAAATATAGGTAAACGCATGGTCCTGGCCAAACCTATCAGATGGTTCGGGAATGTGGATGCCCCTAGCTCCCTTCACCACTCCCTCCACTGGATCAAGAAAAACCATCCCCCTACATCACATGAAATATGTCCCATGTTTTCCAATCAAAAATCATCGAAATGTGGATAGGTTTTCTCCAACAAATATGGAGGTTTCCAGTTCCAATTTTACCTTGAACCAACCCAATGAAAATCCAAACTTCTGAGGACCCCCAGTTAACAACCTCCACAGCTATGGCAACCAGTTACGTTGGTCAGTCACCCCATGGAATGATAGCCACATTTAAATAACCATTAAAAATAACAATAAAAATAACTGGTAAAATGGTTTTAACTCGGACCCCCCCAAACAAATATTTTCCATATGTCCATATATGTCCCATATATGTCCCATATTTTCCCATGAAACATCATCCCCATTTCTGAGGTGAACCCAGAAAACTGTGGATTTCATGCTTTTTCCCTTAGGAACATTTGGGAATAGCCCAAGAAAATCACCATCAAAATCCCTTCCCTTCCCGGCCCTCCACGCCTCATTTCCGGCAGCCTCGCTGGCTCACTGCTCTTCTCTCCCCGGAAGGTGTCGAAGCGCAGCGTCGCCTCGACAATGCTCAGGCCTGGCCCGCGACGAACCGGGGGGTGGGCGATTTTTGGGTCCGACAAACAGCCAAAAATCCTGGTGAATCTTAGATACCTGTGAACAAATCTCATTTCTTAGCTGGTGAATGGACAAAAAACTTTGACCATTGATAGCAAACAAATCTGAAGTACTAGTTCGTATCTAAATCTAAGCAAGGTTGACCCATTTGGAGTTCATATGATTTAATGGTAAATAAGGGGATGATCAATGGATAATTGGACTCAACAATGTGAATTTATGAATTAATGAATTGAAACAGCAAGAAATGGGGTGACAACCAGTGAAACTGGGAAAAACCGAAACGAAAATGGTGCGGAAATCAATCATGAGATTCTACATGACCCGCAAGAATGGGATCTTTAAAGCACCAAAAATGGGGGGTTCAGCAGGGTTCAGCAACACACCCTTAAGGAGCTGAACAGCAAAAACTGGAATTTGATTAATACAAGATCATCTGGTTGGTGGTGCCATCTTGCAAAATATGAAAGTCAATGGGAAGGATTATGCCATATATTACGGAAAATAAAAAATGTTCCAAACCACCAACCAGTCATACAAGATCTATTTAGCTCATAGAAGTTTGGATTTTACCAATAAACACGTGGATTCTATACGCACAATTATGCAAAACTATGATCTAGCCGCCGACGATAGTTGGGATTGAACGAGAGAACAGATTCATCCAACGAAGTTAGGAGTTTTATACCGAGAGTGTGTATTTCATGCCGACAACACATATGTTGGGAAGGTTCATGCGCCAATATTCCAAACTACCGGAATTTGAGCAGCAAACTGAATCCACCGTATTATAGTTGACTCAATCATTCCATTTGCCACGTTAGATTACCCAAGCGCACTGGAAAAATCTGGGAAAAAAGGAAAAACATGAAAAAACATTATCCCAAGATATCCCTGGTATATACCCCATGGATCCAAGTACCTTCTAAGGAAGTGTTTGGGCTATTAATAGGACTGTCAGTACCTTCTAGGGAAGCGTTTGCATCCATAGGGACATATAAGTGTCCTATACTATGCGGGGAGAATTTGCGATCGATCGATGTATGTAATGTAATGCAATGTAATGTAATGTAATGTAAATGCAAATGTAAATGTAATGTAATATAATGTGATTATGTATGTATGTATGTAATGTAATGTAATGTAATGTAATGTAATGTATTATGTATGTATGTATGTATGTATGTATGTATGTATGTATGTATGTATGTATGTATGTTTGTGTGTGTATGTATGTATGTATCTATGTATGTCTGTCTGTCTGTCTGTATGTATGTATGTGTATGTATATGTATATGTATATGTTTATGTATATGTATATGTATATGTGTATGTATGTATGTATGTATGTATCTATGTATGTATCTATGTATGTATGTCTGTCTGTCTGTTTGTCTGTATGTATGTATGTATGTATGTATGTGTGTGTGTATGTTTGTGTGTGTATGTATGTATGTATGTATGTATGTATCTATGTATGTCTGTCTGTCTGTCTGTCTGTATGTATGTATGTATGTGTATGTAAATGTATATGTATATGTATATGTATATGTTTATGTATATGTATATGTATATGTGTATGTGTATGTGTATGTATGTATGTATGTATGTATGTTTTTGACTGATTTTCCTAGCTTCCTTTGGGTCAACATCAAGGTCCTCAACCAATGAATGAAATATGATATGGAATTCCCACGTCTCAAATTTCATGATCACCAAAAGGATCCAAAAAAAGGTTCATGCTGAATTGCTGATCGGAGGTCTGAAATTATTGTTGTTGATAAACACCTCCGCTGTTTCGCAAGCTCAAGACATCGTATTAATGAACCTGGCACTGAGTTTTCGAGGCTTTCATGTGTCAAACGAGTTCCCACTGGTTGACCATATCTTTCACTTAGAATCATACCAGCTTGTTCAAGGGAGTCCTGAATTCACTCATCATCTTTTCGCACTAACTGAAGCACCAGCTCCGTTTTCCAAACCGCGCCTTCGGAGTAGCCGTTGAAGATAAAGCTGATCGAGGAAATCTCGGGCAGCCCGGCCACCGAGGATCGTAGGGATGAGGCCGAACCTCAGGGGAACTGCCATTCACTGCCTGCCAAATCATGGAGATTTAACAATAGAGATGTCATTAGTTCCGTAAAAAGGAAGTCCTACAGCATCTTTCAGGCCATATCTTACCACCTAGATATGCAACACGGAACCTGTGATTTGCTGGCGTCTAGGTCAAATGACTTGTGATCTGGGGATGTATATCTTGAAGATTCCTGAAATGAATGGTAGATTTCGCATCGGGAAACTAAACCTTCAGCAAATCCACGTAACACAAAATGACAAAAAAACATACGGATTTGATTTGTTCAATGGGGCCTTTCTTCCATTGAATAAACCTCAGGATGGAACCTCACAATAAATTCAACAGCAAAATCCAAGTTTCTCGAGACGAAGTGGAACTGATTAGCACACAAGAAATTGGTGTTCGATAGCCTGTTTTTTTCTGACCACCCAAAAAAAACCTTCGTTCGAGCAACCAAGAACTGGAGTCATGAGCAAAAAACAATGAAATGTTCATCAACATTCATGAGCCATCATCAACTCTCACAGGTTTGTTTATTGGGAATTATAGCTCACACATGCTCACACATTGCGGTGCTTAAATACTGAACCAGCTTTTGTGGATCAATTGGTGTCCCGCAAACTTGACCGGCCCATGCCCATATGATGTTCGATAATCGCTTTCCATCTTTCCCCTGTTGATTATCCCATGTTCATCAAGTGTGCATGATGGTTACCATCTGGTTATGACTAACATAGCCATGGAAAGAACCACCATGCTATTAAGTTCGGTAAACCATCTATTTCTATGGGTCATCTATACCATGGCTACCCTCTGGTAGACTAACATAACTATTGAAAATCACAATTTTTAATGGGAAAATCCACTATAAATCACCATGTTCAATAGCTATGTTAGTTTACCAGGGGGTATGTTAGTCATAACCAAAGGGTAACCCTTAATGGTTTGACCCATAGATCGCCACGTCAAGTCACTGGCAGATCCCCGGGAATCGCGAGAACCTCGAGAGCCAGTACTGGGAGGTCGACGTTGCCGACCCTCAAAGCCTGGCGCCACGCATGGGTCTAGTTCTGCATGTCTCAAACTATCAATGGCCATGACTCAGGAACCCAAATTGGAGGTACCTACCATATATAAGGCCTATATAAGGCCTATGTAAGGGGATATCCCCGCAAAATATGGCCTTATATGGTACAGTACCTCCATTTTAGGATCCTGAAATTCCCACTGACACTATGGATGAAGTAAGAATTGTTGGATATGGTTGGATATAGCACCTCCCCGAAGAAAAGTAATAATGCAAACATGGTGAAGGAATGAAACAACATTCTCGCCTCAATGCTCAATACCCACCCAAAATCGCATTGGGTTACTCCTGATTTTTGGGATGAAGCAGGCGTTTAATATCAGAAAAATATAGAAAAAAGGAAAACTACACCAAAAATTACTTGATAAATTACCATTGAATCTCCGTTCTTCCTATCAATTTCCTGTGAAAGACGCAGTGGCCACAATCCCTGAATGAGCTGAGCAACTCTGCTGCTGTGCTGCCTGAGCAGTCACGGGGGTGGGGAACGACTTTGGGACCCGTTTGGTTATCTTGGTTTCCTGATTTGTGCTTCAGGCCATCCAAATTTTGGGGTTCAAACATTTTTTCTGGAAAGAACTATATAATAACATATAAATTCACTAACGTGAAATAAGGCTCACAATCTTCCCTTGGCCAGCGCGCCTGAAATAAAACTATATTGGGATAATTCCCCCTTAACCGTCGTTCCAGATTCTTGAACCATCCTTTTTTTTGCAGATGTTGAGCCGCAACCGCCAGCCAAGTTGCCAGGTTTTGGGTTGACAAATACCTCAGCCACGTGCCACATGCCGCAAGCGGATGCTGAACCGACACAAGAGTTACACCATTCCAATACCCTTCGGCACAACATGTGATGTTAAAATGAGGATCACATCCATGTATGATTTAGAAAGTAGATATGCACATTTATGTATTGTAAAGTCACGTGGAAATGGGTTTCCATCTAGATTTTTTCTTCGGAGATTTGTCCATGGTCAATCTTTGGCCGACAAAAATCAATCTTTGGCTGGTTAAGGTTATTGTTTATTTATAGAAAACAACTCTAGGATTGAACTACCCCTCCAAGGATGGGAATGAAAGATACGTGTTTATATATATATATATTATAAATATCTATTTATTTAATTCTCTCTCTCCATCGCCCTCTCCAAGAATTCATTTATTTACTTTTGCATTTATTTAGTTAATTAAACTAATTAAGTTAATTAGTTTATTACCTATTCATTTATTCATTTATTCTGTGTCGTATGTTGGATTGTCAGGTTGCAATCCCTTCCGCTGCACCCTGAATCTCCATTCCTGCGGCTAAGCTTCACTTGCTCTGCATCCGTGGTGGGGTCCATGTAGAGATTGTTGGATTCCGTCGTTTCACTGAACTCTTGAGCGCTGAATTGCTCCTCCATGGCATAAAATGGTACTTCGATGTAGGAAAAAATCCGTGCGCAAACCGTTTGTGAGTGAACTGACACGCACCTACCCCTCGTTATACATATTGTGTATGTATAGATAAATGTAATGAACTTATGTCCATGATAAGAACGTAACTAAATTCCCTTGGGGCATGCAATTGTAATTGTGTCGGGCATGTTGGCCTGCAAACCGGTTGCTGATGAAAACCAAAGATCAGCATTTTCAACAGGAACATCATCGAATGTATACTGATCTTCCACGGTCATGTGAGAGTAGACTGAGTGGTGCTGAGAGCACCCCAATCAGCCACAAACATTTACAAACCTAGTTTCCTGAATACCAAAAACAAACCTATTCCAGATACTTTTTCATCTCAGCCATCACTGATTTTGATTGATTACTTGCAAGTTCGCACAAGACCATTTTTGGATAGTCACCGGAGCCTAATTCTGCTGACGTCGCGGCGTGAGGTCGTTCTAATGTATCCAGATTATCCTCAGTATATCCCAATAATATTCCGATTCCACCCCCCATGTTTGTTGGTGAAGCCACCAGATTTGATGGTTAATTCACAATTTTTCACCATCTGTCATGGTGAAATCATGGTTATACCACCATGTTTCAGCATTTTTGTCCCCACCTGCCAGATGAGGGTCTCTAGATTTTAACAAAGGTGCAACTCCTTCTCTTTGTCCTCCTCCTTCTCCTCTCGTCTCCTCTGGTTTGGACGTCTAGGAAATCAAAGATTTCTGCAAAATAAAACTTATATAACATATTTTTGAAAAATAGTTAATAAAATGTTGGATAGAATGCCAGAAAGAATGCCGGATAGAATGTCGGAACATATGTCGGATAGAATGCCGGAAATCATGCCAGATAGAATGTCAGAATATATCAAATAAAATGCCATACAGAATGCCAGATAGGATGCCAGATGGAATGTCAGATAAATGCCAGAAAGAATGCCAGAAAAAATGTCAGAATATACCTCAAATAAAATGCCATAAAGAATGCCAGATAGGATGCCAGATGGAATGTCAGATAAATGCCAGAAAGAATGCCAGATAGAATGTCCGAATGTCAGATAGAATGTCAGTTGGTGGGGGTCACTCGAAGAAAGTAATTCTGGATATTCTGGTTATTTCTATTGATCAAACCCAAGGAACCGTTGTCCTGGATGCCAACCAGATGTCGAGGTTGTTTCTTCATCTCTTCACCCTCTGCCACCGGTATGCTGGCATGAAAAATCTGTAGCAGCCTGCCAGTCTCACCTGTGCAAAACCACACCCGTGAACCGACAAGGTGATTTTTTTCGGAATATCATTTGATTTTTTTGGATGGAATAGGAATATTAACTAACAACAAGGATTTATTGAGCGTGGAAAATTCAACTTGACTTGACCATTGTGAAGTGTTGATTTAAACATCAACAACGGGGATTATGATGCGGACATGGGTAAGTTCAAACTATAATTTGTAATGGGGATATCATTGGGAGATAGGACCATAGCTTGATGAAATTGATGGTTCATAATTGATTATATGGGGCTATCATGGGATATACCCTTCGGTGCCAGCAAACATGGCAGGCAATGGGACATACCCTAACTAAATGTAGGTTTGTTTGTTCATGTGAAGATCATCGAACTCAACAGGATTTTCCGGCAATCCATGTTGAATTCCAAAGAGTAGCAGTAAAACTGGTGCTGGTAGGTGGCTTCAGCCCCCGAAAATATACAGATCACTTGTGATCACCATCCCCAAATATCTCCAGAGAATTGTCTTGGAGGCCTCATCACATATCAATTATATACATATATCATACTGTATTGATATTTTGGTGACTCACCCCTCACACTGAACATGAATGGCCATTTGTATGGACGCATATCCACTTTCACTGTGGTTTGTGGCCTGCCCGCTGCGCGATGTTACCAACAGTTCAACATGATATCTTTTGTTCACAATGCTCCGGGTAAATCTATAGATATACATATACCTACTATATAGATATACATATACCCGGTAAATCATAATGATTCCCTTACCGAAAACGCGTCAATTTCTAGGTGGTTTCCCTTCCAACCTTCCGATCTGGGTAACATATACTAATTCACCAGTCTGAAATGCATGGCCATTTGGCCCTATAGTTAATCAAGACACACGCGCGCACCTACCTGTGTGTATATATATATGTGTGTGTGTGTATATATATATATCGTTTCCAGTTTCAGTAACGCATGGCCAAAGTACTTAAAATTAAGTAATATTGGATGGTCCAGGTATATATGGGCCCATTGCTGCTGGGATATTATGGTTTGTGACGGTTTGTGGTTGGTTTTAAGTTTAGTAGCCTGCTATATATATATATATATAGTCACATAAAGTTTTACATGTAACTGCTATGTGTAACAGTACCTAATCATTACTCTCTGGCCATTTAGCATAACATTGGAAAATTGTGGTGTTCAAATGTTTTCAATAGTAGGGTAATCATAGGTCAATCATCGAATTAAAGAGGCCGTGTCTTCCACAGCAAGGTGTGAAACTACCTGAAGGTACCCAACAGTGTCAGCCAAGCATCCCATCTGAATCGACATTGAGGAGGCGGGGTTTCCTCCTTGAAGCATTGTGAAGTTGGAATGGACTGGTAGATAAATCGAACTGGATAGAATGGGATATGAACTGATGATTGGTGATTAAAACTAACCACTGCAGAACAGTTTGGGATTGTAAAATCATAACTGGATGCGTTCAACCTGTTGGTGACATTGCTGGGGATATAATGGGTATGCAGAGGTATAATGGGACATTAATGGAAGATCAAAGGGGGGATCAGAGATTTCACATCAAAGGGTTCAGCCAACACCACCTTCAGTCAGGTGAACCTCTGAATAATGAGCACAATTTCGATAGCCAGTTACGACCGAAGGAAGTTTAGAAGTTAAACTTACGACAATATGGACAGATGGAAAAGCAGAGGCGGGAAGAGTCAGAGAAGAGAAGAGAAGAAGAGAGAAGATCAGAGAAGAGGAAGAGTCAGAAGAAGAAGATGCAGGCGCGCGAAAAGGTAGAAAAGGCGCAATTAACTGTGTCTTTTCAATGATTTGTGGCTCCGGAGGGTCGAAAAGTAGGCTCGCTAAAGCGGCGGGTGCGGAGCCATCTGGCCGGATGAGGGGTGAAAAGTTGCACGCCATTGTGGCACGAAGCACATTTCCAAGTCAAACTGTACAAAGCACGTCAGCTTCAGAGCACTTGAAGGAATTGAGATGTCGAAAAAGTGCACGCCATGGTGGCGCGTAGCACATTTCCAAGTCAACATGTTAAAAGCACCACATGCTCGGACCGCTTTTGATGGTTCAGATGTGGTTTTGCGTGGCAGGCGCAGTACAAGAGAATACAAGAGACATGTTCATCAGAGATGTTAGGAGGTCAGGGCAGAGATTTCCTAAGAGGGGTTGCATTTTGGAGTATGAGATCTTCAGGTTTTCTAAGGTGATTTTGCGTGACAGGCGCAGCACTTTGTATGACCCAGCTTCACTTTTTCGTGGCAGGCGCAGTACTTTTGACAAATGGAGTGGAAAAACCGCAAAGCGCATTGGTACACTCAACTTTCCATTTTTGAAGGATGTCTCGCAGAATGGCTTCGTTTTTGATGTTGTCAACTTCGAAAATTGAGGGCGTTTCGCAGAATTGTTTCGTTTTTGACGTTGTCAAATTCAAAAAATGAGGAAGTCTCACAGAAATGCCGCGTTTTTTAATCTTGTCAAGTTCAAAAAGCTGAGGAAGTCTCGCAGAATACCTTCGTTTTCAAGCTTGCAGATAGACATATAGATAGACAACTACAACTACCACTACAAATTCTCTACGCTACCTTGCGCTACACTAATTATACTACACTACACTAAAAGACATCTAATTACACTACACTACCCTACACTACACTACACTATACTACACTACGCTACACTGCACTAACCACACTACAACTACAACTACAACTACAGCACCAACACCAAAACCAACACCAAAACCAACACCAACACCAACAACACCAAAACCAACACCAACAACAACAACAACAACTACTACTACTACTACTGCTACTACTACTACTACCACTACCACTACCACTACCACTGCCACTACTGCTGCTGCTGCTGCTACTGCTACTGCTGCTGCTGCTGCTACTACTACTACTACTACTAGTACTAGTAGTATTACCACAGCAACTACAACAACTACAGCTACGACTACGACTACGACCACCACCACCACCACTACTACTCATACTGCTGCTGCTGCTACTACTGCTTCTGCTGCTACTACTACTACTACTACCACTACTACCACTACTACTGCTACTACTACTACTACTACGACTACGACGAGTACTAGTACTAGTACTACTACTACTACTACTACGACGACGACGACGACGACTACAGCTATACGACGACCACTACTACGACTGCTACTGCTACTGCTACTGCTACTGCTACTCCTACTACTACTACTACTACTACTTCTACTACTACTACTACTACTACTCCTACTCCTACTACTACTACTACTACTACAACTACTACTACTACTACTACTATTAAGACGACGGCGACGACGACGAGTACTACTACTACTACTGCTACTGCTACTACTACTACTACTACTCCTCCTCCTACGACCACCACCACCACCACACTAATTACATTGCAGCACACCACAACTACAAATACAAATGCAACTACAACTACACTACATTACCCAACACTACACTACACTGCACTAGTTAACATACATTACAATACAACTACAACTGCAACTACAACTACCACTACATTACACTGCACTACACTACACTACAACTACACTACTTTACACTACACTACACTACAGTATACCATACTACAGTATACCACACTACAGTGCACAACACTACAGTACAGTACACTGCACTGATTACACCACACCACACCACAACTACAACTGCCACTACACTACACTAATTACATTACATTACAACTACAACTCCACTACTCTACACTACAACTACAACTACAACTGCACTACCCCACACTACATCCCGCAGTTGTGGTGAGGTGACCACTGCAACCATTGCAACCGCTCCAAAAAACACAACTCCAACCACCATTCAGTCCATCAGTGGATTCGTTCTGCCATCCGTGGTTCACGGCAACCAGCCTCTCCCAAAGGTTTCCTATTTTTGAAACTTCGGCCACCATCTTGTGCGGTACTACTGGAAATGAAAATGACAAAGTTATTCTTACCTTTTCGTCATTGCCACTATTAAGATATTGAGTGCTAGTCCCCATTAACTACCAGTAACACTAGTTATCCTCATGAACAATGATAATTGAGCAGTGTTCAAACTCCTCTGTCAATCAATTTTACCGGTTGGATACTAGGGATTCCCACATCCGATTATAACATATAAAGTAATCCCCAATATATTGGGTGATATAACTTCCCTATAATCATCAACCAACAATGATTTTTTGATTTTGAACACTTATAACCATTATATATGCCCCTAAATCACTATGAATACCCATTCGAATCCCATGAAATATGAGTTTCATTAAAGCTCTCATTCAAATCCCATGAAAAAAAACAATCACTGTGCCCAGCTCAAATTCACAAAGATATATAATTATGAGATCCCCAGCTCAAATCCCAATCAAAATCCCATAAATTCTCAAAGAAATCATTAGATTCCCCTCTAAAATCCCAATCAAAATCTCATAAATTCACTCCAAATCATGAGATTCTCAATTAAAAATCTTCCCAGCTCAAATCCCAATCCAAACCTATCATTTCAATCAAAATCATGAGATTCCCAAAATTAAAAAGCCCAACCAACATCCCATAAACAATCTCTAAAAATCCCAGGGAAATATCATAGAATTCCCAGGAAAATCTTATAAATGTGCTTCCATTGTTCGGCACCTCCTCCCTGCATCGAGGTGGAGCTCTCGCTCCGCAAGTCTGCCGTCTCGCTGCTGGCGGCGGCGTAGCCCGCACGACTCGGTGCTTCGGCTTCGGCAGCGGGGCTGGGGCGACTCCCATGGGGACTCTGGGTGAAAACGGGTGAAAATTTATGGAAAAATTGGGATCATGGAGAAAAATTGGTAAAAATGCATGGAAGTCTTGAACTTCGCCAATCTTCAAGAATCTGAAAGAGATTATCAATGTCTTATGTTAAATAACCAGGGGTAGGATTTAAGGATCATTCTAGCCATGCATTTGCCATCCCCAAGAAGACGTGAGCCCACCCGATTCAGGGCCACATGTAAGAAACATTAAGAAATCATCTTTCAGCTCCAGACTTCAAAGAATGAAATCTTTCAGGTTAAGTTAACTTCCTGCATATCCGACACATATCCGAGATTTTTGAGGGAAATCTGGAGGAACCCAGCCAAACTCCATGGTTTCCGGTCGATTTTCAATTCGTCCCACCCAGTAAACATGGAATTGCTCCAAACTCTGGATTCTATTACCGACTTCCTAACCACAATGTTGCACCTCCCCACTTAGAAATCAGTTTATAGATCCCAGTTCAAAATCAATGTAGTCCCTTCAGTTTGTCACTTAGGCTTACTCTCCATTGTTGACGGTCAAATCCCTATTTATCAATGGTTATATATATAAATCCCGCAATCTAAAGGGCGAATATCTCTTCGTTACCCTCTAGTAAACTAACATAGCTATGGAAAATCATCGTCTTTATAGGCAAACCATCTGCAAATGGGACATTTTAGTAGCTACGTTACATTACCGGCAGGTACCTCCATCATTAATTGAACTCACATATCCCCTATCATTCCTAAATACGGTTCTATCTCTCCATTAGGGGGATATAAAATAATGGCCAGCATCTCCCCATTATCTCTCCATCATTGCTTTTTCACCTGCCTATATCTCTATATAATCCTGATTGTTGATGGTTAAAAGTTGTTTGTCAGTACCTATGATGCAACCATCCCCATTACGGTCGGACCAACTACTTCGACTTCCCAGAGCCAAGTGGCTTCAAGAATTCCCTTAACTTCGAACGATCTGCTTCGGCAACCAGATGATGAAACTTGAGTCCTTCGTGGGTAGTCTCCAACCCGACCAGGTCGTCACAGTCGAGGAAAAAAGGAGTTGGTACTTGGCAAATGTTTGAATTCGGTTAATAATGGTTAATGGTGGTTAATAATGGTTAATGGTGGTTATCCATTGGGGGATATGATCTCTAACAAATACTTGAAAGTGATATATCAACATCACCAGAACCCTGGAAAAACACCTCAAGATACCTCAAGAAACAATATGTCTAATGCATAACCTACTCTGACATTCGTTTATTGAATAGGAAACTCATCCGAAATCCCATTCTTTCAGGGACAGTCACTGGGACATACAATTTTTACATGCGAATATCGCGTGAAATACAACTCCTTGATGCGACAATCACTGAAAAATCCAAATTGTTTGATGGAAAAATCACTTACTTTCCTATATGTTCAATGAACATTGAACATCCAAATTGTTTCATGGACAAATCTCTTGATTCCCTAAATGTTCAATGAACATCCAAATTGTTTCATGGACAAATCTCTTGATTCCCTAAATTTTCAATGAATATCCTAATTGTATCATGGACAAATCTTTTGATTCCCTAAATGTTCAATGAACATGCAAATTGTTATGGAAAAATCACTTGATTCCCTAAACGCCCAATGAATATCCAAACTTGATGGACAAACCTCTTGATTCCCTAAATGTTCAATGAACATCCAAATTGTTATAGACAATCACTTGGTTCCCTAAATGTTCAATGATCATCCAAATTGTTTGATGAAAAAAACACGTACTTTCCTAAATTCTCAATGAAAATTCAAATTGTTTGGACAAATCACTGAATTTCCTGAATTATCAATGAGCATTCACATTGTTTGATGGAAAAATCACTGACATTCCTACATGCCCAATGAAAATCCAAATTGCTTGATGGGCAAATCTCTTGATTCCCTAAATGTTCAATGAACATACAAATTGTTTCATGGACAAATCCCTTGATTCCCTACATGTTCAATGAACATCGAAAATTGTTTCATGGACAAACCTCTTGATTCCCTAAATGTTCAATGAACATGCAAATTGTTTCATGGAAAAATCACTTGATTTCCTAAATGTTCAATGAACATCGAAACTTGATGGACAAACCTCTTGATTCCCTAAATGTTCAATGAACATACAACTTGTTCTGGAAAAATCACTTGATTCTCTAAATGTTCAATGAAAATCCAAACTGTTTCATGGGAAAATCACTTACTTTCCCAAAATGTTCAATGAAAATTCAAATTGTTTCATGGACAAACCTCTTGATTCCCTAAATGTTCAATGAACATCCAAATTGTTTCATGGGCAAACTTCTTGATTCCCTAAATGTTCAATGAACATGCAAACTGTTTCATGGAAAAATCACTTGGTTTCCTAAATGTTCAATGAACATACAACTTGTTCTGGAAAAATCAGTTGATTCTCTAAATGTTCAATGAACATCCAAATTGTTTCATGGGAAAATCACTTACTTTCCCAAATGTTCAATGAAAATTCAAATTGTTTCATGGACAAATCACTTGATTCCCTCACTGTTGAATGAACATGCAAATTGTTTGATGGGAAAACCGCTTGATTCCCTAAGTGTTCAATGAACATCCAAATTGTGCCATGGAAAAATTACTTGACTCCCTCAATGTTCAATGAACATGCAAATTGCTTCATGGACAAATGACTGAATTTCCTAGATGTTCAATGGGCATCCAACTTGTTTCATGGACAAATCACTGACTTTCCTAAGTGTTCAAAGAACATCGAAATTGTTTGACGGAAAAATTATTTCTTTCCGAAATGTTAAAAAAAATCATTTTTTCATGGACAAATCACTGAATTGTCTGAATGTTTCAATGCACAATCAAATTGTTTGATGGAAAAATCACTGACATTCCTACATGCCCAATGAAAATCCAAATTGCTTGATGGGAAAATCACGTACTTTCCTAAATGTTCAATAAACATCCAAATTGTTTCATGGACAAATCTCTTGATTCCCTAAATGTTCAATGAACATCCGAATTGTTTCATGGACAAATCCCTTGATTCCCTGAATGTTCAATGAACATACAAATTGTTATGTACAAATCTCTTGAGCCCCTAAATGTTCAATGAACATCCGAATTGTTATGGAAAAATCACTTGATTCCCTAAACGCCCAATGAATATCCAAACTTGATGGACAAACCTCTTGATTCCCTAAATGTTCAATGAACATCCAAATTGTTTGATGGAAAAATCACTTGATTCCCTAAATGTTCAATGAACATCCAAATTGTTTCATGGGCAAACTCCTTGATTCCCTAAATGTTCAATGAACATGCAAGCTGTTTCATGGAAAAATCACTTGGTTTCCTAAATGTTCAATGAACATACAAATTGTTTCATGGACGAACCTCTTGACTCAATGAGCATCCAAATTGTTTCATGGAAAAATCACTTGATTTCCTAAAAATTCAATGGAATCATCACCGTCTTCAAAGAAAAACAACATCCGAAATCACGCCTTCCAGGGAAGTCTGGAGATCTGGTGCCAACAGGTGCTGCGCCTTGTTGCTGGGTGCACCTAAGGTGGTGCGGCAGCACGGCTGTTGTCAAAATGTGCAGTTTGGCAATGTGCTGTAGATATGGCTGATTGCTAGTATGGCATTTATATGTGTTTATTTATTTATGTATGTGTGTGTGTATGTGTGAGATCAAAGCATGCATGCATATCTACTTGCATATTTTATATATATATATAATCCATTCCCCCTATTACTAACCCCCCAAAACAAATTAAAACTATGGTCCGTCTCCAATTTTGGAAAATTTGAGGTTGGCCAATTTGATTTTTAATTGATTCCCTTTAGAAAACAAGTAAAAAATGAAGCTACCATTTCAGGGTTTCATCCCCTAATAATAAAAACTAGTCAGCCCCGGGGTGTTTTTTATTAGGGTCTTTTAAGGCCGAGAAAAAGTATTTTATATGAAAGTTTTTAATTCAATATTAGGGGAAAGCTTTGAAATCCAACTTGGGGCAATATTTTAATTAGATTTTAAAAGGAAGTCTAATCAATTTTGAAATAGAAAAAAAATATTAGGGGCTTAAGTTTAGTATTAGGGGGAAGCTTCGCATCAGAAAATAATCTCCAGAACGGGGGTTCATGGGGACTTGGTTTTTGCTTCAAAACCCTTACAAAATACTGGTATTTACAATGTTTTGTGATGGAAAGGGTCCAAAAACCTAGGTCTTACAGCAAAAATCATCTCCCCTATGCATGGACAATGAAGATTTTCTGATATAAGGGTCAATAAGGGGTATATATATATCTCAAATCATCCCGATATCAAACATGCACACATGGCACCAAAGACTGACATACAAACATACATGGTTTTGCCACTGATTGCAACAACATGTCTGCTAGCTACAGGCTATCGATTCAATAGATTCAAAACTGCAAGCTACACATGTAACAAAATTCAAAAGTGCATCTCTCACTTCATGGCTTTCATTGACTTCATGCCCTTCATCATCTTCATGCCCTTCATCTTCTTCATGGACTTCATCGATTTCATTTCCTTCAGGGACTTCATGTTCTTCATTGCCTTCTGTTTTTCCTTGCCTTTGTTACATTCATAGGGCTTAGATGGTCTGTTGCTTTTTGGGATCTTGTAAATTGTTGTGTCACTTGAACAAGCCCAGGTAGCCCGTACTCAACTTGCATTTCTTTCTGGTGATTTCTTGAAACCAAAGGGTTCTGCAAGATCGTGGAACCTACCTTGCAAACAAGTGTTGGTGATCTCGGTTCGTTTGGCTCACCAATGATGTCAAAGAGGCGTTTCAACTTGACATTCTCCTTGATAGGATCTAACGGCAAATCCTGTGGCTTCACTACCCCTGGGGGCAGTTCCACCACACTGGGTTTGCGAAGAGGGCGGATGTAGAGGGCATTGGTTGCATTATCAGAACTTTCCATCATACTGCTACTCACCGTCACTAAGCCTATCTAGCTAGACTTGATCGGAACGGCCACTTGGCGAAGCACGACTTTCCGACAGTTTCCGGTGATTTCCTTTGGGGACCATGGGGACGTGATTTTTGAATGAAATGAGCACAAAACACTGTAAATATGTTCTTTCCTTTTCAACATAAAACAAGCTCATCAAACTTGCACAGGCACCAAAAAAGCAAACAAAAAACAAAGCACAATCTCACAAAACCTTGGCAACCACTCACAAAAAAAAGCAAAAAAGAGCAAATATTTCCAATCTATGGGGATCCAGAGTCCTGAGTAGATGCTGGGTGTTTGCTTTTTTTTTGTGCCCGCCAATGTTTTGTGAGATTGTGCTTTGTTTTTTTTGGTGCCTGCCAATGTTTTTCAAGCATCATTACAAAACAAGATGCAAAAATGTGCGTTTCGCCTAGGTTTCAGAGCCATCAGATGTAGAAAACATCGGTATTTACAGTACAGTGCTTTTGTGCTCATTTTCATTCAAAAATCACGTCCCCATGGTCCCCCGCTCTCATAATAAATGCCCCATAATAATAAAAACTACCTGAGGTGTTTATTATTTGGGTGGGTAGTATTAGGGTGAAGGGATTATGTATGTGAATGTGTGTGTGTGTGGGAAGTTTGAAACTCTGGCCCAAGTGGAATTATGTTAGCACCATTGAGCTCAGAACTGAAATTGCTTAAATTTGTTTATGTGCATTTCACCTTATTCAACTGCTAGATCACCCCAGTTAGGGACCCATCCAGGTAACCGTTTTTGATCCTGTTGCATGATGGCCACCCCAGACATAAAATAGGTCATGGAACCCCAAAATAGTCCTCGCCAAGGAAAAGCATTGATGGAGCATCACGGGATGCAAATTCTGTCGGTTCCATCTAGATTTTGGGGGCACGCCTAGGGTTTCACCTTTTTATTGGCTCCCTTCAAAAAAGTGGTTGATTTGGGTAAGCAACAAGTCTCTGCGCCAAAGCAGAACCATCTTTTGGTGGGCAGCCCTGGTTGAGCCAGGCCGTTGCGAGCCGTGATTTGGCCACGAGGAATTGTGATCCAAACAGCTCTGGTCTGAACCCTGGCGGTCATTTACAGAACATACCCCCACGCACAGTGAATGACGAGGGGAACATGTGGTGAAAAAATGCTGAAAACCATCAGCCAACTGTGACACCATACCAAACCCAGCTGAATTCATATTCACTCAGTAGGGGTGCAAATCGTCCCCAAAAGTATCCCAAAGTCCCAAAAGTCAAAGGGCAGTCAGAACTACCCAGAACCGCCTTTCCCAAACAGCCGAACCTGAAATATAACCAGAACAAGACACAAATGCGAAGGTTGGAGTCGAGTGTAATGTCGGCATCTACCAGCACGGAGAGCAAATTTCTCCGCGCGTGGGACTTCCCACTGATATCCAGATTCTCCAACTTCAGCTCCAACCACTCATCCACCAACCTTCGTACCTGAGATCATTTGTGGTACTCTATGCCGCTAGGATTCACCATGGTTGTCATTGGGGGTTGCTATCCCAACTAGCAATGGAAAAGAGAAGATGTTTTGTTGAAACCACCAATCTAGTTGCAGTTGCTTCATACCTCCCACTCTTGCAGATTATTATATCCCCTTGCTGTTGTAGGTAAGACATGGCGAAACTTCACACTACAATCACTACAAACCTGAGTCATGGATGCGCAGAATCACAATAGGTTCTCCATCCCAACCGTTTTAGCTACGCCTCTTGCCCGAGTCTGGTCTCCCGAGGATAAGAATTGTGGTGGTTGTTTTTTGTGGTTCAACTTGAAGTTCCAGTTCAGGTTGAAGTTAAAGTTGAGTCACATGTTGCTAGGAATCAAGCATCTAACAAGAAAAACAATATTTGCACATACCTTATCATACCTATAGGATCTATAGGGTTTACAAAAAAAATTGTTTTGCCTTAGTAACTACAGTAGAAGGGCACCTCATCATGTTTCCCCCAATTTCGCCCCACACTTGGCACACCAAACCCGGCATGCTCCGCGCGGCCACCAGCACCAAGAACATCAGCTGCACCGCACAGCTGATCTCGGAGAACGCTGCGGAAAGGACGTGACAGGACCAGGTCCCACCTTGAAGCGCCTCCAACGGAAGGCGCGACCGCATTGGAACTGCTGAGCGGGGGATCCCGAAAGAAACTCATGGGATATCCCCCGATCTTTTTGGGGGGGACTTAGAATGAACATGATCACCAGGGTTTAAACAAAGACACTTACAATTCATGGGGTGATCTGGAAAATCGAGATGTTTATCAAAAGCCACCAAGATGATGATGGTTGTTGCTCAAGTTTCCCAAAAGTGCCAACGAGAAAATAGAAAGTTAATAACTAAGCGCAAAATAGAAACATTCAAACAAACAGTGACACATGTGACACTTATTGGCTTGCAATTGCATGTTCAAGCAATGATCCTGGGCACTTTCCAATACAATAAAGGGGTTGTGCTAAATCATGGGTGGAACATCCCAATATTTGTTTCCAGTTGTCAGCTATATATCCCATCATATTTCCACATGATATCTGCTAGGGGATTATATACCACAAACCCGTAAAACACAAAATAAAACACCAAGATCAAACCAGGTCAACCACTATCAAACCATTGCCATTGGTGAGATATCACATACAACAATATTTTTAAAAAAACAGTATAATCCATTTAAACCATATATAAACCATACCAACCTCCCTTAATAAACCTCTCAAACCCTATTAAAACCAAGACATGCCATCGTCTCCCCACCTGAGCTGCCTTGGTCAAGCTCCAAATGGAGCCCAGGCTGAGGACCTTGGGAGGTTTAGACCGGGGGATATGTTATTTGGTGTAAATTCAGATTCTATCCAGTACAAAACCTGAATTATTTATTATGATTTGAGATGCTGTCTATTTAAATGGTAGAATGAGATTATGTTTATAATTTAAAACATAATTCAACTGATCGCTTTTTGTTAGGGCTTCTCAGAGGATTTGCCCCACCACATTGCGCATGCACCAGATCTGGTGAACTTCAGAAAAAATAGAATATGTCATAGTTTCAGAAATTCCAACAACAATGATGGGAATTTACCTTTTCTATTCTTTGGGGGGGGTTGCTCCCAACTGACCTGTTGGTGGCTTTGGGTTCCCCTAATCCCAACACCATCCATGTAATCCCAACCCCCCAGGGCAGTGATGCCCACCCGAGGGACCAGATTAGCAGCGAGCGCTTTCCGCAGACTCCCAACGAAGAGAAGGCTGGTCAACGCTCGCAACAAACTTCGTCCCCCGCCCATCATCAAGAAATCCACGTCCTGGCACAATTTTTAAGTTCACTGGAACAACGGATTGTTGTAAACCAAAACTTTGTTGATGACCGGGTTTTAAGGGTTGAATGAATTTTCCAAGTAAATTTCAATAACACGCAATTCGATGGTGAACATATGTATATAAAAATAAATATAAATACATATATATATATAACTATGTAAAAAAAAAATAAGAAACACGATAATCATCATATGTATTCCGAAAACATATTGTACTTCCCAATAAAAAACGCAGTAATATTAACAATACAATATAGCCTCTGGTTATTTAAGGTAGCTATAGAAAATCCCCATTTTTAATAGGCAAACCATCTATAAATGGGCAATTTTTATTGCTATGATATTTCAGTGATGATTGGCGTTGCCAGTTACCATCATCCGTGGCCACTGCAATCCGCGCAAGTTCCTGCAATTCTGAAAGGATGATTAACCACTTCATCAACTTCAACCAATGAAAACTGCAATTCATCAGACATCGGCTAATCAAACTTGTATACATACATATATATATATCCATATGTGTGTGTGTATGTTCATGTGTATATATATATATATGTATATCAATATATATTCACACACATATATATATATATACACATACATTCACAAATAAAAAAATATTCTTATGAACATATATGTTTATATAATTATATATATATTCATATTATATATATTCATACATAACACCCAACCAAACCACATAGAAATATAACTACCGCCTGAAGCTCGATGCCAAGATATGCCAAGACTCCGAGCTGGGACACCAGAGGGAAATCAACAGCAAACAGTGTGCCCAAAGGGCGATTTGATCACAGTTCTTGGGCCTCGAAGGCTGCTGGACTCCCAAGTTGATTGAAATTTAGGAAGCAACCAGTAGTAGGAAAAGGAAATCTATGAAAATCATTGGACTTTCCGACTGTCCCAGTGCTTCAAGGATGTTCAAGGGAAGAATTTATAAGAAACCCCCAATGAATGTTGATGCGAATAAAAACCAGCCAGTTTCTTCTGAAGATGTTCCACAACAAACTAATCCATAAGCTGACATCCCCATATTTCATGGTTAAAAGTGTTAAAATAATGTTTACAGTAAATCCCAAGAATTGATGCGGAATTTCCCATGTTTTATGTTTAACTATACAATGTGGTCTCACCAGTTATAAGATGGTTTAGAACCCCATTGGCCATATATATATATAATTATAATTATATATATATATCCATAAGTCCTAGTTAGAGTTATAAACGAACTTCGCTAACGCATGATGCGTACCTTGTAATCTGAAAAATCACTATATTATTGTGGGTATATATTATATGGGTATACATCAATAATGGTGATTCATATAGTAATATGTGTCTCACATATACCACAATGTGGGGCCCCAAAACGATAGCTAAGTTGACGAACATAACTCCAATAACTATGGTTTATTGAACTTATAACTACAGTCCTAGAGTATTCATGGGGTTTAACCAACAAACATCACCGGGGCCCCACATTGCATAATGTCACTATCCCTGCCAGCCCTCCCTTCCGCGTCTCCGCGTCACGTGAGGGGAACAAGATCCATGGCCACAGCCACGCCAGCGGCGTAGAGAGCGATCCTGGGGCGGCCCCGGGATGCCCCGGATGCCCGAAATGCGCCCGTTCCAGGATGGGGTTATAAATGCTATAGCTAATAGATAGAAGTTTAAGCGAATTATATAGATATATTTGGTTGTAGTTGGTAGTTATACTAGTTATTAGTTAGTTCTTATTGCGTAATAGTTACTAGCTACAATAGTTCAGAGATTTCAGAGCTATTACTGGTACCTATGGGGGTACTATTACTATTATAATATTAGGTAAGCTTATAACAGTGGTCTAACTACTAGGTAATAGTTATTAGTTAGAGATCATTAATCCACCATAGTATACTAGATAGTTATTAGATGTTATTAGATATTGGTTATTGTTAGGATATGTTATCATACTTAGCCCAACCATACATCTCTCTCTCTCTATGATTATTTTACATATATATATATATGTATGTATATGCGTGTAGATAGTGACAAAAACTGTTATCCTCCGCTCATATTAAACTACCCCATTCTATGTCTCCAAATAAATATGTGTAAATCCCCTACTAAACCATGGTTTACTGGGGCGTGTTTAATATTACAGGGAAAGGATTAATAGTTACAATCCACCATTGCCGGTTTAAAGCTAGGTGACCGGGTAACTTTAACTGTAGATAGCCAACTTGGCTGATTAGTGATTTAGTAACACCCAGTTGGTAACTATTGCGGTAAACCAGGAAAATACTATAATTAGCTACCTTCTGAGATAGCTATAGATAACTAGGTGATGGGGTAAGAAAATTCAAACGTATAACTAGGCAATGGGATATGTCAACATCACTACTAAACTACTACAGTGTAGAATTCTAGATGACTGGGGTAGCTATGGTTCGTTAGCTAAGTGCGCAACATAGCTGCCATAAAGAAACCCTTAGAACTGGTGGGCACCACCTTTCACGAGTGGCGTGCAATTTTCTGGAAACAACTATATTCATGTTCTTTTCCGGACTTTTGTTCCGTTTAATTATATGATTACATTGGAGGATATTGAATGGTTTTGTACATCTTTTTCGCGAGTCTAGGGCTGTTATGGATTCCATAGCTGATCTTAGGTACCATGAAAAAAAAACAACCACAAAACATATGCCAGCAAACAAATGGAAGGATTGAACGGAACATTTACGGGAAACGATGTGTTGTACCCCAGATATAGGGATTTCCTGCGCATCCCTGCAAGGATGGCAATGGGAATTCCCACATCTTCATGGTAGGAAGAATCAAGCGGGCAATCAAAAAGATAAACAGACATGGGCTGTTTACTGAATCCATGTTCAACCCCAAAGTGATTGGATTTCAAGTTATAAATATCTATATGTTCTTGAATATTTTAAAATTGTCTTTGTTACACTGTGGTTATTTAACATAGCCACGGAAAATTACCAATTTATAGATGATTCATGATGATTTACCTATTAAAAACAATGACTTTCCATCGCTACGTTAAATAACCAAAGGGTATATTCTTTGTACATCTTTAGTTTCTTTGCATTTTCAACCATAGTCCAGTCGGCCAGTCACGCCAGTCCCAGTTGCGTGAGCAAAAGGTGAAGCTCTTCACCAGCTCCGCAGCTATTGGTCATGACCAGTGCAGAGAAGGTATTGAGCAAAAGGCTGAACCTCACGGAACTCGGCGCCTCCGACGGACTCCGAAACGGAGCGCCGTTCCGAGTCGCGGAGTGTGCGGTTTGCTGTTTGGGTTGCAATGACCATCCGGAAAATCGATCCATATCATTCTGGTTGGTGGTTCCAACCTACCCCTCTGAAAAATGAGTTCGTCAGATTATTCCATATATGGAAAAATAAAAAATGTTCCAAACCACCAACCAGCATTCCATATCTATCCATGAAAATAGCATCCCATTTGTTTGGTATTCTACTGTAGATTTGGCTGGGGGACGCCACTGTGACCACCCCCATCCCCAAAAACCACGGATAGCCACGGCATGTGCGGCACGGGCCGAAACTGAAGGGCTATCAGTGCTATCAGTGCTATCTCAAAAGCTAAGCAAAACCACTTGAAGCGCAAATAAGGAGGCAACTGCAGGTAGATCTTGCAAATGATATTGAAGAGCTTGAAGCTGGCCTTGCGTCAAGTGACTTTAGACATCTGAAACCCTCACGTAGACATCATGGCCATTTGAGTTCCCTGTCTAGATATTGAATTTGAATCAAGCTAAATCAGGCTACATAACGTTCAATCATATGAAAAAAAAACATACAAACCAAACTATGTACTACATTAAATTCACTTAAAGTGCATTAAACCCTGTCAAATCCAATTGAATCCGACTATATAAATCCCAAAAATCCTCAATAAATCCAATATATAGATTCTTCCACTATCTTCCACTGAAGTTCCACGATATTTTCCACAATCACCTTCTCAGCCATCAGTTGGGCTCTGCGTGTAGACAAATCTCCTAAGTTTCGACATGGCTGGGTTGGTAGCAAACAATGTCCGGGTAAAGCGCAACAATGGGTAACATCACCTACAATTCAAATATAGAAAAATCCGCCAAAAAAATGGTGGACACAGGGGACATCACCTACAAATATAGAGAAAGTCACTATAAATGATGGGTAAAGGGGTAACATAATCTATAAACTATAGGGAAAGCCACCAAAAATTCTATATAACAATAAAATTGGGTAAATGGGCAACATAACATACAAACTACAGGGAACTCCCTGCAGAAAATGCCGGTTTATAGCTGGCAAAATCATCTATAAACAGAGGATTTCCAATTTCTATGTTTGATTACCCGAGGCAACACCGTTTGACATCAACTAATGTGGGTAAAGCAATGCCATTTGCACCATCACCCAGTCATCACCATTTTCATAGGTGGTAGCTTTACCATTCCAAGTCATGGGTGGTAAACATGGCAGCCAGTTTTACCAACATTAACATTAATATCATAATATCATAACTCAATATAATATCCCTATAATATCACCCAGATTATATATCCAAATCCCATTAAAATCACCATTTTTGTTGGTTAAATCCCATAATATCCACCATTAAACATCTTCGAAACCAACCACAAAAATGTCTGTGGTTCACAGCGTTTTAAAGATCACCTGGAAGGAATGGGGATTTCCATGACCTTTCTTGATGCTTAAACCACCTTATTTTCCCAGGGTAAAATACCAATGTTTAATCATGTTTACAACGTAAGGCCCCCGCGTTGTGTTCCTTGGTTCATGTTACCCCCATTAACTAGTTCGATGTATCTACCATAAACCCAACAGTTATTATTATTGTAAGGATATTTGCCAACCTACCTAATGACCTACGGCACCACGTTGTAGCTTTAACACTTATCTATATAGATGTTTCGATATATCCACATTTTCATGCCTAGTTGTATAATTCTTCATTTTTCCTTGTTCAATCCTAATTTCTACCAGTAGCTGGGCACCACCCTGCTGTTCATTGATTATTTCTCTATATGATTGTGTTGATGCTTAAACCAGGTTAAACCTCCATTTTTGAGCTTTATCAACTTCCATGTTTGATGGTGATGATTAAACCGTGAGATAAAACCCCCGGCAGCTGAGGTTCTGCGTTCCTTCATGAGGCTCACAATGTCAGCATACTTTTGGTATCCACTACTTCTCGCCCACCACAGGTGCGAAGCCACCACCAGAACCGTCACTGTGTTCACGGCTACAAAGGACAAGGCCACCTGGGGTAGCCGCTGGTACGGAAATGCGACCACGGTGCCGGGGTTGCGTGCCCCACTTAGTAAATGGGCTATACCCCCAGTTATGGAATATTCCCTATTATACATGGGATTATATATATATATATTTATACTATTTATATATATATGGGTGATATAAATATGTATATATATATGTAGAGGGAGAGAGAGAGATTATAAACCACTTACTAAGCGGGATGCACATCCAAGTATGGCTACCAGGATCAAAATCAAACCCAACTTTGTGGTGATGATCATGATATACCATGATGATGTATGGTTGGGATTACATAAATCATCCAAACACCTCAGGATTCGGGCTCTCGCATGTTCCGAAATACTTGCCCGCTCGGCGGTTGAAATATCATATTATATTTCACCATCAAGAAGTGAACTTGTAAACCGAAGACGGTGGGAAAATCCTTGAAAAATCCAAACCACATACTTCAAAATGTCACTTCTGCTACTTCTCAATGTAAACCTTCAGGCCATTTTCTCGGTCCGAAAGGTCCAAATCTTAGTATAAATAAACGGTGTTCAATCCCTGACCAAGATCAACGTCTCAATATGACGTCCCCCAATCCCCATCGATTCACGGTGGTTTTCCTCCAGTCGTTTCCGAACCGAGCCGCCATGCTGGCGCTGATCAGCTCGTGCTGTGCAGCAAGCAGCCTCTAGTGTTTGAGCCACCTGCAAACACTTCACTGCAATCACTGCAAAGGACGAAGATTGAAGCTTGACAGGCTTGACACCAAAGGAATCCACAGGAACACATGGGAACATGCAAAAAATGTGCTTTTTCCTTTTGTGCCACACGTGTTCAACTCAAGCTGCTCAAGTCAATTTGGATCGTCCCTGGCAGGCACTCCACATTTTCCGACCACATCTGCCGGCGACGCCCCTTCCTCCAGGCCTCTCACATCCTTCACCTCAGCGATGCAAAGATGAGGACGTTCAATGGAGTTGGATGCCACTAAAGCTTAACATAAAAAAGGATATGAATGATACGAATCAACAAGAAGTTATAACAGAACATAGTTGGGTTAGGGGAAAAATCAACGTTTTGGTGAGTTCAATTCCCGCTGGGAAGTGCTGACCAGTTGATGGGCATCCAAATAGAAATGGAAAATGAAATATGTTGGACAACCACCATCAAGTTTAGGCATAAAATTGACACCTCCAACATGTGAAAACGCCACGTGCCGACCTTGCATCATGAGAATAGCTGGAAAGTCGCAAGAGCTCCTTTTCTTCCATCTTACGCACCTTCAATGCCATAACTTGCAGCCTTTTGCTCAGCTTCCACCGGGCTACAAAAGCAGTTTCTTGCATAAACGGGAAGCGTGTGAGCACGACGTCGTAAACAGAGCTGGATTAAGCCGTCTGGCCAAGTGCGTCAAAAGCGTTTCTCTGCATTAATATTGATTTATTGTAGCCCCGGCAAGATTCAGAAATGCCCGCCAGACCTACAGAACACTTCCAGTACTACATGGCCTAGATGAATAACTTTGTATCCTGTGTAAAAACGCTTTGTGACACAAATGTTTTACAAGTATTCATGATATCCATGTGCATATTGCTGAGCGTGTATATGTATGTTATCTTATGCATATAAATGTACAATGATATATATATATATATATAATGGATAATGATATATATATATATATGTATGTATATATATATGTATATATATATAATATATATATATATGATATATATATATATGATATATGTGTGTGTATGTATGTATATATATATATATATACATGTGTGTGTCTACATTCCACTGCAATAAGAAAAGCTGAACCCCCAATTTCGGAAACACATCTTCTCTCAGATGGTTCCCATTGTTCATAGGGCATATGCGGATAGCCCTAGCTTCCTACATCGGTAGATCATTTTCTCAGGGTTTCCCATGGCTTTCCCCGGCGAATTCCGGGCTTAGTCCAGCAGACTCCACACAGAGCCCTAACAGCTTTGACCTCATTGGAGGTAGCGCTGAGATGGTCGCGCTGTTGCCGCCCATTTATGGTAATATATATTGGGGGTAGTGAATTATTGGGTTTACCGTATTGCTCCTCATCAATATCAATCAATATAATTTAATTCTTATCAAAATGAATGTATGGATTGTTCCAGTGGTACTTGGCCAAAGTTTGCAACCACCGGAGATTCACGGGATTTGGATATGAATTCCCAAGACACGAAACGGCCTAAGATTGGGAGCCAATTGGGATACCCCAAGCTCGAACAGATGGGCCACTGGGGCCACTTCTTTTAGCTGAGGGGTGGGAAATCGGCTGGGAAGCCAATGTTTTGAACCCATTTTTGACATACAGTGACATACAGATACATCATATCATATACCCAGATAATCAGATAACAAATGTGCACATGCATCCCTACATGTCTCAGTTTGTCCTTCTGGTGAATTCATAAATAATGTTGCTGTGATTCGGAAACATGGCGGGTTCAAACTGCGTCCGTCTGCTAGGATACATCCTCATGTCTTCAACATCTTGCGTGGCTTCTTCTGATAGAATTCCAAATTTGACTCAATTTTGCTTAACATCTGAAAGTTTGATACAATTTTGACAATCTCTTCATTTTCTCAGACAACGACTTGCTTTTCAATGAGGCCGAAGCCCTAGGGCTCCGAATTTCGATCCACTTGGCGATATCCCTTTGGGAGATATCCAATTGGCAGTGGCTTCAGCCGTGATCCCGAAATACCCTGAACTGATGATGGATACCATTTGGTATGGAACGGTATGGACAATGGCCCGTTTAAAAATGATTTATGGAGGATTTATGGAAGATTTATGGAAGATTTATGATGATTTATAGATGATTTATGATGATGTATTTGATATCTCAATCTTACCCAATAAACAAATTGTGATCGTCCAAAGCGGTGTGTAACCAGAAGGTAAAACAGGCAAAGACAGCTTCAATCCATGGCAGGATGGAAGACGCCAGGACGATGCAAAAATGGTCGACTGGTTGCTGCTTGAGCCCCGGAAATTCATAGGAAACTGACTCTCGTCCCTTGTCTATTGCTGAAGATATATCAAGTATAGTTTGAGAATCATCATCCCCAAATATCCCAAATATGATAAATATGGTCGAGACATGTTGAAGGTAGAAAATTGAGTTGAAACCAACAGCCAATTCAAACCTCTTAAGCGCAATGCGGAGAGCCTTTGGCTACCGAAAAGCATCGCAAAAAGATCTCTCAATATTTCGATGACGTGTTGACAGCAGGAGCCTTCACCCCAGCTATCAGCTGTCACGAGCAAAATGTGGTGGGAAAGCACCAGGTCCAGCTGCCCAGCTTCAGAAAAACACCTAGGCTGTGAGGCGTCACTGATGCTGCTGCTTGATATCTGGGGATTGTATCAAAAATGTCATTTCCTGTCATTTGCTGGCAAGGCTTTGACATGTTTGCAAATGATTGCAGCTATTACGATACCAGGGATGCAAAGTGGGTCCAACCTCGAAATAATGTGGAGGCCAACCGTGGCAATCCGCTGCGAGGGGAGGCTTTACCCGGTAATCAAACGTGGCAATGGAAATCCACTGTGCATGATCTGGCTGGTGGTATACCTACCCCTCTGAAAAATATGAAAGTCAGTTGGGATGATGAAATTCCCAAAATATGGGAAAATAAAAAATGTTTGAAACCACCAACCAGATGATTATAAGTGGAGCCTTGAATGGGAAAATCCTCTAACCAATGGGCATTTCATATGCTTTTTGCACCACTTGGATATTCCCAAAGCAGCTAAGAGAGCAAGTGGACTGCCGGCCTCAGCTAGTGACTCAAGTGCATGGCCCGCTGTACACCTACCAGCCTACATGTAAATTAAAAAATGTATATATATATATAAATACATACATACACATATTTATTTATTTATTTATTCAATCTTATATTTATATTATACATATGTACAGTGGCAGAATCAATAATAAATCATCAATGTTTGATGCTTAAAATAGTGTTTCACACTTAATACATCTTAATACTCACCCAGTAAGCTGGTATTGGAAATGGCTGTCATGCTCCAATGGGTTTACCACACCACTCCGATGGACTCCGGCGGCCCAGTGACTCAGCTACGAACCTCATCTCCTCACTCCTGCACGACTCGACTAGGCCACTGATTTGATCTGATGAACATCTGAAGAAATAGCTGCTTAATGGATGGTTATTTATATGTATATATATATATATATGGCAGTGGGTCAAAACCCTGTACCCCTGGTGAACCCCAAAATAGCTGGTAAATGGATGTTCATTCCCCTAAAAATGGTATGTATAGGTATTGATCCATAGCCATAAATATTATATATGGTCATTCCCTAGTCATTCCTGGTAACTTCACAGGCAACTTAACCCATCTTGACCAATCCCCATAGCCATCGCCATTGAAAAAACTCCTTGTCCAAATCTGCCGTGTTCTGATTCTCAATGGGCTTCAGCTGCAGAATTCGCAGCATCTGCGTGGGAACGAAGTCGTGATGACCTGGCATCTGGACGGTGTCCATAGCCATGGAGCTGCCCCATGAGCTGGATGGTTTATATTGTTTATATTTTATATTGTTTTTTGTTAGGTGTATGATGGAAAATCCGAATATAACATAGATGATTTGGGGTACCTCCAGTTTAGGACACCTCCATATGCTATTATATATATATATATCATCATCATCATCATCATCATCATCATCGTACAACCTGATCTCATTCCATTCCAACAACTTGCAGCATCGTCTGCCTTCGATCTTGTCCTTTTCTTCCTCGCACAACAGGAAGCACCTGCATGGCGCATGCACGGATTAAAACCCTGACCATCTCATCCACCAAAAAAAGACCCTAAAGCAGTTTTTGCATCCCGGGCACTGCTGAAAGGTCGAAACTGCCAATCCAAAGACGTTCAGCGTCAAGCGGGAGACCACATAGCCACAGACCACGTATGAGATCTTAGCACCGATAGCTGAAAGATTGGAACCCGGATATCCGGATGAACCAGGTTTGTCAATTTTGATGTTCACCCACCTAAAATTTGACATGATTATGATAGGTTTTGAACCATCCAGAGAAGGCATCAGAAGTCACATGAAGGGATATGAAAAGTTCTGAAACTGTCTATTAGATGGAGCATTTTTTGTCAGGAATGGACATGTCCTTCACAAAGCACCATCCAATTGTAGCATCGCCGATGCCCATCATCAGGTCGGATCAGGATATTTTTCGGATATCTCAGGATCCAGCGATGGGAAAGATTGGCAAAGCTTCAGGGTGCATGCCCAGCAAGTACAAATAGCCAAGACCCACCTGGCACGAAAGCTGAACGAATTTTGCGCGTTATGAAAATGCAGAGATTCTTCACGAACCAACCTACATCTGAACGAAAGAAAGGGTTGAACTGCTTCCATCTGGGCCACTCAGCGCACTTGCATTCAAATAGCTGTATTTGATTCATTTTGTACTTCACGTTTTCCTGTTTTCTCATTGTATCTTGGAATGGTTCCAGTACCCCTCATGAGCCCCACAATCCTTCCCGTTCTCAGCCCAACACCGTTGCAGCAATGATGAAAACATACCTTGGTCATTTTACTATCTGAAAGCATGCAGTTACAGCTCCATTTGTCTCTGTCAACTGCAGCATGGGCCCGTTTCAACAACCTCCACTTGGTGCCCAAACATTAGGTGGAACTAAAATCATTGAAATCAGGGTAGGTTCTGAAACATATTTGGGAGGTGGTATCTTCAATATCATCTCCCATGGTGAATATCAGCCATTGGTCGAAAAGAACGCATATTCATGCTCCATCTTTTGTTTTTTGCCAACAATCACAATGGAGTTTGTCCAAATGGTAACAGTTAAATGTGGTAAACACTCGATTTTGTTTGTCATACCGAGTCATACCCAACCGGATATTGGAGATACCACTACCCCGTGTTTCTATGGATTGGTTTAAGGGAAAATCTGCAGGAAAGCCCCAGACAAATCATGGGAAAATCGATGGTTTCCTGTAAATTGTCCTGTAAAAATCTATGGTTATAGTCACACTATGTCACATTTATATACCTATGCCTGTGCCCTTGTCCCCTAATCTCGTTGCTTGGCGCCATGTAAAGAGCCACTTTCCTCCAGATTCGAAAACAGGTGGTCTTAAACCGAAACGTTCTTGGAGCGTTGGCAAAGCAATAATTTGTGCAACCCAAAGATCACCATTTTGTATGGGTGCTATATATATCTATCTATCTATCTATCTATCTATCTATCAATATTGCTTTATATACTAACATAATGTTTACCATGGTTTGCCAACTTAGCGGTTCAACACCCCAGTTTCTATCAAGGGACCCTACGAAGTTGATAACGGATCCCAATAATGCCACCGCGCCAAAGCGTAGAGCATTGTTGAGGATCAGAAAGAACGCCTGCCGTTTTGAAAGTCAGGAAAACCTATGGAAAATCTATGGGAAGCTATGAAACTATGTTGCAAATTTAGGAAATCTATATATGGCAATCTGCAATCCAGATAATTAATCTGCTTGCCTGTCAGCATTTTGATGCATTTTGCATATTATAAAGGTGATCTGTGTAATCCTTTGATGGTTGGCTCATGGCCCCCCCACAATGGACTGTTAGAATCCCCAACGCAAAGCACAACCCTCTATAATTCTCAATGAAACTGCTCAAGTGGGATTAAGTGCTAGCAGCTAGGACATCGTGTAATTCAGGCAACTTAATACAGCCGCCAAAATGGTGCAAATTAATCGCAAATCATTGCGAGAAACCGACAATGCCGTGATTTTACCTGCAGTGCCAGGCAAATCCAAAAGCCACCCGTGGAGGGACGACGAGACCCCAGCGACTAACCTCTTCCACTAATTTGGGAAATTCTGAACTACTCTGGCTACTCTTCCAGGAATTTTGGTCCTGAAAACAGAACTCACCAGGCAAAAGAAATGCCTTAAACATCAACGGTTTCTCATTGGGGTGGTCATCATAGTCGGTAACTGACAGCTGTGGTAGGCAAAAAACATCTGCCTTCTTGGCGGCAGTGCAGAAGTTGTGGCCATTGATGGCAATCTGGATGTATGCATTCCTCAGTTTCACGGAGCATAGCCAGTTGAAATACATGTGTTGAAACAAGTGACAACAATTGAGATCTTTTGACCTGTGACTTTGAAACATGTGCATTGATATAATCCCAACATGGGCACACCAAATAAGCAAATAGACACTTGAATATTCACCAAGCATTACACCCAAAGAAACAATGATCGACAATGATCGACACAGTGGGACCACCACTGTAGAACCCCCCACAATACCGAAAGCCTCGCAATTGCCGAAATTGTGAAACTTCAGCGCCCCCCCCAAAAAAAACGCTACATCAACAGGCAAATTGGATCAAATTGAGATGTCAATGTTACCCCGCCCCCTGACCAATCTGACCATCTGACCATCTGACCATATCCCCATTGGATGAGATTCAGTTTGCCTCCATCAAAATGCGATTTCTGAGCGGGTTATGAAGTCTATTTAGGCATTATCAGATGCGGTGTCCAATATGTTGTCGGGAATTTTGAATATACATATATATATACATATATATATGTACATACATTATATGCAATATAATATATATACACATATATACACATAATATATATATATGTATACATAATATTACATAATGTGTATATATATATATATGCATATATTTAGTAGTATTTTTGCATGGCTGGGATTACCACCCGACAGGCTTGGAGAACGCCCAGGCTCTTGTTGATGAACTTCAGGAAGTTTTCCAAGCACCAGAGACAGCAACGAGTAATCCTCAAGATCATCACCATCACCTACCGCTGGATAGTGCTGGGGCAGGGCGGCCCTAAAGACTTTATCGTTTCTTTACATGGTGAATCTTAGATACCTAGCAAAACATCAAGTTTGTGCCTGGTGAATGTACTAATGTTATCTCATTTTACCATTGATAGCAAAAGATTAAAGTACTAAAGTATCTAATCAAGGTTGACCCAGTTTCTGCTGTGAGGGTCTGCTGCATTTGACACCATCACTCATGATATCTCATGATGATAACGACTATTTGGCTAAACATGCTGAGTATCACAGATGTGAAAACCAACTGTTGGTGAAGATCTGCTGATGCTCCTCCTTTACATTTGACAATCACTAAAGCCATTGATCACACTTGATAATTCCCAAACTAATGCATCAAAAGAATGTTTTACCATGACTAATGCGTTGACATGATCATTTAGGCTAAAGATTACGGGTATTAGCGGATAGAATGATATGATATAAGTCTACTTCAGCATTAATATGTCTGAATCATATTGGCTACAGTTAGACAGTCAAACATATTCTTCCCGATTCATCATGGGTTGGTTGTTTATTTCCAGTTTTGACATACCAGCCGTATTGTGGTTTTCCTAAATCTGCTCCCGTTGGTTGTTTATGACCTGGCTGGGCGTCATCGTCCTGGCCTATTCTTGGAGGCTCATCGTCCCCCGAATCGTGTTTGTGGTGAATAAACGTAAAGCATGTTCGAATCCATTCATATTGGGACATTCTCAATACATGATCTACCTATAGATGATATATATATATATACATAAATATATGAGAAAAATATATATATATATAATATGGAGGTTTCCTAAAATAGGGGTACCCCCAGTCCTCATCCCATGAAAATAGATGGGAATTTCCATGATTTGTTCCATCCAGCGAGCTTGGGGATACCCCATTTTGAGACACACCCATTTTAGGACACCACCATATGATATATATATATATATGTATATACACCCTCTGGTAAACTAACATAACTATGGAAAATCACCATTTAATGGGTAAATCCACTATAAATGGGCCATTTTCAATAGCTATGTTAAATTACCGGATGGTATATATATATAATTATATATAAATACGTAGATCTATTATATCGACATTATCAACACATGATCAACACATTATGAACACATTGCCAACACATTACCCATCGATATTATCCGTTGCTGGGATCAGCAATTTTAAACAAAACCGGGACTTGACACTCAGGCCGTGTCACGCGGTTCTTCTGGGCTTCAGCCTGCTTTTGCAAGTAGAGCCTTGGCCCATGCCAGCGGGGACCCAGTTTTTTTAGTCCCACCTATTGTTTCTGATATACTTGGTGACTGATCCCACGAAGCGTAGATAGGTATAGGATTATAGGATGGTACGGGTAGGTTATAATAACCCTAGAGTTATTTCAGTGGATGAACCCTACTTATCCCACTGAAAAAAACCAGGTGTGTAATCTACTTAGGATTCGTGGCTACTTCGCCACCAAGTGGTCCATTCATGTCCATTCCATCTATTGTTTCTGAATGTTTCTGATAGATTGCTGATAAATTTCACCAACTATGAGTTCCAAACTGATAGGATTTGTATGAACTATGATGAACTTATAAGTCTTCTGGGCTCTGAGGCATTGCAAGAAATGGGCTGTTCCACCTCCAAGCAGCAAGCAATATCTGATGAATGCCACCACGGCAATGATGAAAGAACCAAAGGCCAGCGAACCCAAATGATAGCGTACGGCCCACCATACTGCCTGTCGAGTAGATCCTGGAGAGGTCCCTTAAATTTCCACACTGTGATCCAGCTGGAGGCAAGACTGTTGAAACTTCCAATTCCAAAATGCGGCTATGTTATGCTATGTTACTGTTGAAGCTTGTTGAAACTTCACGACACCTCAAGTTGACCAAACAACTCTCCTACCCATGAACACCCTAAACAAATCTAAACAATAATGAACATTTTCTGTCGCATTCTGCCAGTGATTTCCAGTCCTCTTCGGCCTTTCTCCGAATTGGGAGTAAAGAACCACGCTGCTGCCTGGCGAAACTTGCGAACTGGGCATCCATCTTTATCTCACTCTCTCTCTCTCTCTATACAACGTGGTGGGCCCCAGTGATGTTTGTTGGTTTGTGTTCCCATATGAAAACTATAGTTCGATATACCCTCTGGTTATTTAACATAGCCATGGAAAATCACCATTTTTAATAGGTAAACCATCTATTTCTATGGGCCATCTATACCATGGCTATGTTAGTCATAACCAGAGGGTACCATAAACCCAGCAGTCATGCCAAGGGGCAGCACCGGCAACGATGAATTGACCACAGGCGATGTTGAAGGCCTCCAATTTTGGAGGCCTTTCTCAACTGGCTGGCACTGAAACCATTTGTAGGCTACAAAAATGGGGGACCCCAAGTCAATCGTTCGTGATTTTTCTCGGTTCAAGTCGTTCAAGTAGGAAAAGTAATGGGCACCGGGTATGCCCTATTTGCAGAAACTATCAGTGAAAGGATATTGAACACCTGGTGTCTGAGAGCCACACGTTGTTCCAGAGTAACATAAAAAATGAGGCGGCAAAGCGATAGTCGAATGCGTAGCGCGGCTGCGCACACCTGCAGCTGATGCTGACTCAGTTCATCCAAGGCCCTCACTTCAAGGAACACGCGGGGCCCACATTTTGAAGCATGGCTTCTGAAAACAGGCGATTTCCCCAAATTAATACAGTTGATCATCGCATAGGCATATCATCACTTTCTGACATGACACACATTGATCTGGGCAAATGGCAGTGTGTCAAAACCTTGTACCCCCGGTGAACATCAAAATAGCTGGTAAATGGATGTTCATCCCCCTAAAAATGGTATTGATAGGTATTGATCCATACCCAAATGATCATAATTCACTAACCTGAAATGTTGGGCTCCCCATCTATTAACCATTTTTCCAGGCTTCGAGAGAACAGGCTTTGGTCGTGCCTCCAACACTGCGCCGTGCCGTTCACGATCTCGCAGTTGTCATCGTCCTGGCGCGTTTTCATCGTACGCCAGGTGTGAAACACTGGGGATTTAAACAGCAAGGGTGGTATTTCATGGGGGTTACTATGGAGTTTTATGATATAGATATGATATAGATATGATATAGATATGATGCAATTTATGTAATTATAATGATAAATTAATCCTTCCGAAGTTAGCTAAGTAGCTTTACATGGCTTTATAACTCCAGAAGCTGTTGGGTTTGTGGTAATCTATCGAGTATCAAGAATGGAGATTTATGGCGGTTTAACTCTTCATGACCAAAGTTGAACGTGCCGGATGATTCTGACCACATGCCCCCAGAAACGACCTTTCCTGTCATACAAAATTGGACTCCAAAAATCAAAACATGAAGGACGCTACATGATTGCATCATATTGCATATCCTTCTCCAACATCAAAAAATGACCTTGCTACCCTGAAAACAACGCCTCTCTGACGTTTTTGCTGGGTATTGGATATTCCCTCGTCTGTGGTAACTAACCCATTCAGCATCGTATGGCGTTCGCATTCACCAAGGTTCCTCACATGGGATGAAAGCGGGGTCTCCCCCCGATAACCATCAGAACAAGGGATAACCTTACAAGTTACAATCATCCATCAGAATTGTGTTCTTTTCCCCCTAAATCTTCAGGTACATTCAGGTACCAAAGCCAAATCATGCTGCGCCTTGTATGTAAAGCCTGTGGGCCATTTGTCAGTGCATTGGCCCGGAGTGGTCGCTGTGCCATAGGCCTACGCCGAGCTAAGGAGTATAGCTGTTGGGTTTAGACAAGTTATGTACCAACAAATATAACTCGGGGGCATCATCTGGCGAGCATCTTTGATCTGAAAAATCTTCGGCATCAAAAAAGATTGTGCCCAAAAAGCAGTGAGGAGGCCCCTTCAACCAGCGCCTCCGCATACGTCGCGAAAGTTCCCTCAGCTCTGGCAAGGTGAGCCGTTGGTCACAGGGCAAGAATAGAGATCAACATTTTGAAATAACGAAAACACATTGTACAATAGTTTTATGTTTTGTGCTGGCCAATGAACACACACACACATTTATATATATATATATATCCGATTATCATATATCATCATATATACTACTAAATAAATAAATAAATAAGTAAATAAATAAAAAAAATAAATAAATGTAAGTAAATAAATAAATAAATAAATATATAATATATTACAATAGAACATACGTACACATATAAATCTACCCACCCCTCAGCTTTCGCCAGAAAATTGGGGATGCTAAAAACCAGGGACTGAGTCTCTGCACCTTCTTGGAGATCCAATGAGCAAATTACCGATGAATGGGACAGATGACAGATGGGGAAAACATGGAAAAAACATGGAAAAACTACAATGAATGGATTTCTTGGGGAAAATCTTCACTGGTTTTCCCATCCGATTTTCCCAGATCCTGGGGCTTTCCACTGTCAATTTTCCCAGTGAATCCATGTGACTCCCCGTGGCTCTGGCTAAGGGGCTGAGGGCGTGTAATCTTCAGGCACTTGCGACAGCAGGAAGGAGGCGAAAAAGACCCAGCTGCCCACCCAGAGAACCGCCAGGACGGCCTCTTTTTTCGGTGGTCCAAGCGGTGAATCTATGGCTGGTTGAGAATAATGATGGTTGGATGGTTGGTTAGTTACGATGATGATGATGATGATGATGATGATGATGATGATGATGTTGTTGGCAATCATCAACATGAAAATCAACCACTATCTCACTATCAAATAATTAAATGATAACCCCTGATTATTCATTGATATTGTATGATCATATGATATCTTATGCCCTAACTAATGAACATGGCAATGGAAAACTGCTTGTTTCGGCAAGGTTTTACTATTAAACAAGGGGAGTTCTCCATGTTAGACTACCACAGAGTATGATATCATGGCTGATGGTCATCGCTATCCTTCAGGCATCATCAAGGCATATGATCTAATGATCCACCAGAAAAAAACAGCCCCGAATCCTAATAACCATCATTCCGATGTCGCAGTCAGAAACTGATGACACTTCCAAGTTGAAAGAGTAAGCGAATGGAAAAGTATGGCAAACATTGGCAAACCATGACAATGCCTTCAATCATGATGAATCTTCTAGAGATCGTATAGCAGATTTAAGACAGCCATCTGAACATTTCCCAACCCCCTTGTCGTCACTTGTCGTCCCTTGATACTGGCTGCTAAATTTCATAAGGGGCTCCAAGTTTGGGTCACGGTCACAACGTTGCATCATACCATCAACCAAACCAACCATCAAGGGATGCATTGTCACTGCATGTTGACACCTCCATTTTGCGATCGCCACTTCACTGGTGCATACCTTACTCCCAGACCTTCATCAATTCTCAGATTATCCCAAATATGCTTGAGTCTGTTTCTTACGTTCATTGAAACTATCAACATAACATTCCCCTCCATTCTTTATTGGTTATAAAACATCTAGAAAGGCACTAACATCTTCCCCGCTTCGATGTTTCACCACCAGAAAGCAACTCCGCCACCTGAATCAACGGCACCAGCAGCAGCGTGGGGTTGCCTGCCTTGGAGTGGTGCCGGTGTTGGTGTATAACCTCATCTACTGTAACTATAGCTAAATGATGCTAAATGCTATAATTACCATAAAGTCCATTTGTCCCATCCAATCTAGCTATAGAATAATTGTTATTATGCTTGTTTTTAATCCCATCTATCTATCATTGATTACCCAATCCCCCTAATTGGGGATATCCCGAATATTTTCCCATGTGTTTCCTGCCATCAAAATCACGTGCCAGTCCGAGGAACGACGAAGATGGCGGCCACTTTGTTGATGGCGATGGCTTCGCGAATGCGGCTGCAGAAGCAAAGGATCAAAAACCTCTGAGGGGCCGCAGGGATCTTCAGGTTTAGAAGTCCGAGAGTGGTACCCCCTGGTACGATCCAGTATTGAAATTTGGTCCGATTTATAGATCGTGAACCTATGAAACATGGTGATTTTCAATGGTCATGTTAGTTTACCAGAGGGTAGCTATTGTAAGTCATAATAGCCCATAAGCCATCATAACCTACCCATGAAACCAACAGTTATTGGATGATATTGGAGTTATGTTTATGTGTATGAACTTGCCTATGGGACAGCCACCAGTCACTAGAAGGAACCCATAGGTGACCCCCTCATCCAAACACTTTCCGAACCAATCTGGAACGAACGAATGCCAAAATGAGGTTTCTTCCTATAAGTTGCTTTAAAGACCTCATTCAGTGTACGTATACTAAATATATATATATATAATATCCGTGTGTGTGTGTGTCATAATTATTCCCCCCAAAACAACAGTTAACCATAAGCTATCATCCAACTTAGCTATCGTTTTGGGGCATCACATTGTATCCACCACCTGCAGAGAGATCAGAGAGGTCCAAGGAACAGGTACAATGCACCGATCACCCAACTCGTGTAGGCCGCATACCTGAGGACCCACTCGACACGTTCCCATGTTTTGTCATCATCATTTTTTGCGACAAGCACAAATGCTCCAATTACCCTCTGGTAAACTAACATAACTGTAACTATGGAAAATCACCATTTTTTATGGGACAATCCACTATAAATCACAATTTTCAATAGCTATGTTAGCTTATCAGAGGGTAAGATATTTGTTTCATATATCCCCCTTAAAACATGACTCAAACATGTCCGCGGCGATGCCGGGTGACTCCAGGATTTGTCGAACGGTCTCATCAGGGACAGCAAAGCCTGGACAGCGCAGGGTCAGCGTGTCCAGATCCATTCCCGTAACCCCAGGCGGCTCACAAATTGCCACCAGCACTAATTACCCTTAAGGCCTTCAGGTCAACAAACAAAAAAAAACAAGATCCAAAAGTCAGCAAATAACCCAGGTCAACAAACCCAAAAAGAAAAAGGTCTAAACAACCTTAAAGCCAACTCCACCAAACGTTCGACCCCGCGCCGCAACCTCCCCAACCCCCTCGCCCCCATCGCGGATCCAGGCACCATTGCGGCAGGCGGGGCGCAAAACGCCAATGGGTTGACACTCTTGCCACGTGACCTCGCTATCCGAGGTAAAACACCAAATCGTCGCCGCCTGGCCGGGGCTGCTTGGTGAGGTGAATATCCCTGATGCATCCTGATGCTCCATATCCTCAAAAGGATTGAACAGTAAAATCCTACTAAATTAGTGATAGATTACTTATCTAGACTTGTCAGTCTTTTTACCGGGCTGCTGTATGGTGTATTTACCTACATTTGGATGGTTTTTGGGGTAAATGTTGGTCAATATTGCAAACATGGAGCATAGCATATGTGCATACCATCTCACAGGAAATATCCAACAATTGGATGAATCCAGACTGTCTGTCAAGGAACGAGCTGCGCGTAGACTTTACCTATGCATGTATGACATATGTATACCAAAAAATATGTATATCAATGAATATGTAAATATTTATGTGTATATATATATATAAGTATGTATATGTATATGTATATGTATATATGTATATGTATGTGTATATATGTATATGTATATATATATATGTATGTAAGTATGTAAGTATGTATATGTATATGTATATGTATATGTATATGTATATGTATATGTATATGTATATGTATATGTATATGTATATGTATAAATCCGCCCGCACCGAAGGTGCTGGGGCGTGATCTTCCGGATGGCACTCGTAAAAGGTTACAGGTTTACCTGGGGGGGGGGGGCATTTTTCGGCCAAAACCTCCTGTTTTTGATAGGTCGTGACGCTCGCCTTCAAAAAACACTGTAAAAAACAGTACGGAAGACACCTGTTCGTGAACGCGCCCGTCCAAAATCGGCAAGCGTAAAGTGAAAAAAACCCGTGTTTTTCAACTTTTTGACCTCAATTTTTTGGTTTGCAACATCTTTTTTTGCGGTTCCGCAGGTGGCCGGGCCCGGAGGCGGATTTTTGAGTTTTTGGACCCGTTTTCGGACTGATTTTCGTCGTTTTGTGATAGCAGAAACACTGGTTTTTACAGTGTTTTTCTGTTTTCTGCATGCTTGACGGCTAGCTTCAAAACTTCCAAAAACCTCGTAAATTACGCTGTTTTATGTTACGGTGTGAATGAAAGCATCGTAAATACCAGTGTTTTTTGACGTTGGTTAAAAAAACACTGTAAATTACAGTGTTTTTGGCCACCTGACCCTCAAAAACCACGGTATTTGCAGTGGTTTCTGCTTCTCACCGCGCAAAAACACTGTAAATAACAGCAATTTCGCCGTTTTTTTCATGTTTTTCGTTATTTTTTGAACTGCGTTGGTCCGCTATACATGGCTATCAAATTTTTCGCGTGTTTTTTTCCGACAATCAGTACTTTCGGATGTTTTTGGTCTCAATGGCCGACATCATTGGCAGTTACGAGCGGCTGCCCAACGATGCGGTGCGGGCGGTTGCCGTCGCGAAGCGACGTGAATATATATGGAAGTATGCATATGTATGTGTATATATATATGTAACATATATATATATATGTAACGTATATATATATATATATATATATGTAACATATATATATATATATGTGTAACATATTTATATATATGTAACATATATATATGTAACATATATACATATGTGTAAATAAAAATATTCATGTATATTATATATATGATTATATATGTGTGTAACATATATATATAATGATATATATTATATAATATGTGATTGTAAATTCATACATATGTTTAAAAGTAAAGCAAAAAAAATAATCACATACAAACAAATGCACGTGCATGCAGCTCTTGTGGGAAACACGGAGCCTCAACAAACTTGTTCTGTCAAGGTTTTTATTCACCCCTGTGCTGTTGAATTGGTGCTGCCATTCAAGTATTACATTATATATATAACATACTGCAACTTTGAGCAAGAATTGTTTTAGCCAATTAATATCGCTAAATAATGCAGTTGAAGTGTGGGGGTGCCATGCAAATCTAGCAGCACTAACACATGACAAAACCTATGTGTAACGATGTCCGACGATGTCCAACCTTTGGTATGTGATAATCCCTTCTCCTATAGTACATACCACTTTAGAACAATTGTCTCCTTTCAAAATAAAAAAACCCTGGTCTTTTAACATACAGCAATGGAAAATGGTAAGTACACAGGAAAATACATTCCATGTAGATCTGGGTAAGCCAAATAATTTGACAATCAGTCCAATTATGCTCCAATTAAGTTTCCCCTTTTTTAATTACACCCTGGATCACTCTGGTAATCAAACTTGGCAATGGAAAATCTTCCAAAATTATTTCCATGCAGGTTCCGAACGCTGGGAATCTGGTAAGATGTGGTGCGCCTTGGTATCTGCGGAGGCACCGGTGAGGTATGGGTTGCGACCTGGGCGGAGGTGAGACAGAAACATTCAGCCGGTTTTGTGGGGAACTTGTGGGGAACTAGCCTCTGGTAATGAATCAAACATTGCAATTGAACATCGCCTATAAATGAAGGTTTTCATGTGAAAATCATATAAATGGAGGATTTTCCATTGCCATACTTGATTACCAGGGGGTAATGTTGTTGATAAAAATGCTCTGCTCCCTATGTGTATGTAGATATGATATGATCACATATTTAGGTAGGGTTGTGCAGGTATGGGATCGCACACATACAGTGAGATGTGGCAAATGATGAGAATCCAAGGGCCAAATAATTCAAGCTGGGCCCCAAAACATGAATGACGGATCACCCTGTGTCATCAGTGATTCCTTCAAACAGATTTAAGCTGTAGATGCCCTTCTGGTATGTTGGTTGCTATTCCCCGTGATCAAATCAACACGAAGAGTATATGTTTTCGCGGTTCGCGAGAGACGAAAAAATGAAACAAGTGATCTTGCACTATCACTTCCGTTGCATCAACAGGCCCCATAGCGTGAGGTTGCCACAGTAGTTCTCGGTCAGGTTGGAATTGGGGTAAGCGGCCTGGCAAGCTGACGTTTTTCTCCAGGAATCATCATAATGCCCCCCGTTTCGGAATCGGTAAGTTGGTGAACATCACTTGGATAACTGTTGGGTTTATCGTAATAGGGTAAATCATCTATAAGTGTCCATGTTCCAAGCTATGTTAGTTTACAAAAAGGATACACATGGTTAATATAGGTAAATCATCTATCAGCGTCCATGTTCCATAGCTATGTTAGTTTACCAAAAGGATACACATGGTTAATAGGGTTTATAAACCAACGTAACTGGGGACGCCTTCCGAAAATCGAAACTTCTAAAACCTGCTTTGTATTAATGCATGGTGCTGCCGCTGAGTTTGGGTCACTTATGACTGGATGAACCAAGAGATCGGGGACTTACTCAGCAGCGTCTACGGTGATGTGATTTCAATGCCTTCACCCCGGGCCCCATCTGGTGAACTATCTATCCAATCTCGGGAATCTAGGGATTGTCCATTCGATGTACAAAGACGTTGTGACATGTCACGTGACCATATCCCAAGCCCCCGAAAATCCTGTGGCAACAGAGGGAAGCACCGTGCTGAAGTCGAG